GACACACACACATACATACATACGTACACATACAACACATGCACACATACACATACACACACATACATACACACACATACATACACACACATACACATACATACACATACAACACATTTACATACCTACACATACACACATATACATACACATACACACATATACCTACACATACAACACATATACATACACATACAACACATATACATACACATACACACATATACATACACATGCATACATACATACACACACACACATACACATACCTACACATACCTACACATACACACATATACATACACATACACACATATACATACACATGCATACATACACACGTACACACATACACACGTACACACATACACATATACACATACACCCACACCCACACACACACACAGACATTTTTTGGTGTGCTGCGATTTTCCTGCAGGCTGGATAGCAACGTGGCGAGAGTCACGGCGGCCCGTTCACAAGCATTTCAGCGCAAAAAAGTATGGTTTTTTCCAAGCCCGGGAGTTTGCGATCCGATACAGGAAGAGGATGACGGCTGGCTTGTGGGGTGTTCACGGGGAGGGGTCCTCTGGGGAGCAGAGCTGCTCGAAGGATCCCGCACGAGGTGGAGGCTTTGAAGCGCAAAGGGAGCCGCCGCACTTCCAGAACCTTCGCGCTATTGCGCGACGTACAAGGCCAAAGATGGAAGAAGGAAGCTCGGAAGGATGCCCACATGCGGCTGCTGCTATGAGGCCTGCTGAGGCAGCAGTAGCGAGAGGCGCTGCCTCAGCGGCTAGGGAGAAGAGACAGCTGCCAAGCCGCCAAGAGGCCGAGGCAGGGAGTGCAGCTATTCCGTGCCCTCTCGCGAGCGAAAATATACTCCCAGTGCCCGCTGCGGCTGTAGAAGAGGCTGGTGCAGCAGCGCAGCTCTCCTTGTCGCTGACCTCGACTCGTCTCCCTGGCGGCTTTCCAGATTTCGACAAGACCATAAGGCTCGCGGGAGACGCGTGCTGCCTCTCTAAGGCTCAAATAACCTTCCTGGTAGAGCGCATGCCCCGAGTTGAGCGAGTCAGTTTTGACTACACCAACCAAAGGTATGCGGATACTCTTTTTGCTGGCTAGAGCGCACAGACTGCCACCCGGGCTAGCAGCCGTGCGAATTGGCCGTTGAGCTGCCTGCAGAAATGCGCCTTTTCTGCCTCTTTAAACTCTCCCTGCAGAGAAAAAGCCTCTCTTCGGTGACATCCGCTGTGCTGTGCACCCTCCGTGCGTTCGTGCTGCAGCTGGATCGCGCAGTGGAAGCAAAATGGACGTACAACTTACCGCCGTTTCGCTGTCAGTAAACTTGGATTCTCCGAGGCTCACAGGCTGGCCGTAGAATTCAAGGCCAAATTCTTCAGAGAACCGCAGTTCCCTCCCGCTGCTGCTGGCGGCGTGCCCGTGCGCAGCACTAGCCATGGCAACAGCAGATATTGCAGCAGTCCCAGTGCTGCAATAGCTGACGACACGACGGTGGCTGTAGCGGAGCTGCCTTCAAAGAAAAGATGCGCGCCTCCCCCAAAGCAACGGCTGCAGCAGCAGCACCTGCTGCAGCCGTCCGCGGTTAGGGGGCAGAGGACGAGGCCTGCAAGGGGTTCGCCTGCGTGCCTTCATCAGTTTGAGCTTCTTGAGTATGCCACGCTGTACGAAATCGACCAGAAGGAGTGCGCTGCTTTTCCAGGGAACCGACGAGGGCGCTTAGAGGGAGACGGCTCTCTAGGAGAGAAGCACTTCGTTTCTCAGAGGCACGCTTTGCGCGAGCAGAGCTACACAGGGGAGGCAGCGACGGAGTACGAAGCAACGCAGCGGCCAATATATTTTGCTGTAGAGACACCTGGGAATAGCGGGCTTGCTTCGCTGGAGCCCATGATTCGTTCTCCCAATGGAGGCAGCGCTACCCTGGGGTGTCCTTCGGAAGAGGGATGGCAGAGTAGCACGCGCTTCGAGAGAAATTCAACGATGTCAACACCCACCAATCACGCAGAAACGTCTGCCGACTTCTTTCCCACCCGCAACTCCTCTCCCACCCGCAGCTCCTCTCCCCAAATGGAGCTACCAGCGGCCTCCGAAACTTGCACCCCTGCCGCAGAATCGGAAGATGCTCGCAGCCAAGTCGGGCAGCAGCGCGAACTGCAGAGACTTCTGCTGCAGCTGCTAGAGGCTTTTTCTCACAAATCCAATGACTTAAAGGCAGAAAACTCCCAGCACCAGCTGCGGCATGAGCAACCTTCTGCCGCTGCGCTGGGGATGGCCCCGCACAGCTCGCAAGCTGCATCCAGCGGAGCAGCACAAGAATCGGTTCCCAAAGTCGCCATGCTGCAGTTCGCGCTCAAGGCGCTCCTGGTGGAGCTTGCAACAAATGGCCTAGAAGATCTTGAGCTGCCCGCCGACAAACACCTTACCTGCATAGAGCTCATCGACTATCATGTGCAGCAAGTGGATCAGAGTGCGGGAGGGGAGACTTTGGAATCGTATGCTGAGCTGTTCTCGGGATTCTTAAGGGATTCTGCGCAGCTCTCTTCCTTGTCGGCTGAATCGAGACAAGGCCTTTTGCACGCTCTTGAGGCTCTCTTCATGCAACAAGAGCAACAAAAGGAGCAACAGCAGCAGGTGGCAACTCGAGAAGAGATGCTGCAGTTTCGGGAAGCTCAGGAGGTTCGGAGCCAGAAAAAGCTGCCCCAACAGCAGATTCTGTCACTGGAAGCAGTAGAAGGGCAGCAGCAGCTTGCCCAACTTCGTGCTATAATGCAGCTGCACTTTGGACAAGGAGCAAAAACACACGGCGTGCATGCAGCAGCAGCAAGATCTCCTCTAGCGGAGCTCCCAAACAGCGCTTCTCGGAGTGAACCATACGGTTCTGATGCTACTGCTACTACTCAGCAGGACCAGCAGGGTCTGTGGCTGCAGCACGAATTATTGCTGCTTCAGCAGCAGCCAGTAGAGGCTGCATCGGGAGAGGGCTGTGTTAGTAATAAGGTTCCTCCCACTGCAGCATCCCGTGCAAACGATTTTTTTTGAGCAGTTTCAAACGCTCCTGCTTTTTGAAAACTGGTTTTAACGTTCCACGTCTTTGGCCCTGCTTCTGTTGTGCTGACAGCTCACCTGCGGATGAGGCGCTTCTATTGCGTTTTGCAGAGAGGGGGAAGGCAGGCTGTGAAGGCAACCGCCGGAGACCCTGCAGTAGGGCCTAATGAGCTCTCACTTACTAGTGGACTGCTGCAAGGAAGGCTGTGTGACATTTGGGAGGAAGAGCGGTGCCAATGAAAACTGGTCCAGCAGTTGCTGCACCGCGAAAGCAAGCAGACATTTCTCATTAGTGCGGAGTGAAGTTACCTTGAGGCCAGCCACTTGGGTATTAGCCTGGCAAACGTAGCACTTTAGAGACTTGAGTCGGTGAGCAATATGTATCGGAGAGGAAAGCGGGTTTCATTGAAAGCCTTGGGTTGGAATAAGGAAATCGCACGCCCTGGCAGCTGCCAGATAGACCTCAGAAGCGTATAAAAGGACAATAATTGGCCTTCATACAAATCAGAAAACTGCTTCTAGACAAACGCCAAGAAAATGCGCGTGCTTATGCCCGACTGTGCTGTTACTGTTGCCTCTGCTGTTGCGTACTAAAAGGACACGGGCACAAGCAGGACCCTGCAGCAGCGAGCTTGGTCAATTACCGTGAAGCCCAAGTAAGGGAAAAGTCGATTATTCGGCTTGAATTCTTTCAAAAGCTATGTTTAACAATGTCCAGCCATGCGTTGCAGAGGTCTGTACACCTTTAGGCGTCTTTGCAAATGCCTTAGGACGTATGTAAACAGTCAGCAGTGCATTCGGCATGCCGATTCTCATATGGATGTCCAAGCACCTTGCAGAGCAACAGAAGGGAGCGTATAGCGAAAGAAACGCGTTGGGTATTGCTTGAAGTTCCTCCGAGTAAATGAGAACTCAGTAAAACAGCCGATTCGCTAAAAGGGAACCCTCATAGAGCCTACGCTGCGTTGTCTGCCAGTTTTGGATGAAATATGCACATAGAGTGCAGCCAAAAAGTGCAAAGAGATCGTCGCGGGTGAAGTTCAGCAGTTTAGTACATTAGTGAGCCGAAATTTTGTCCGGTGGTTGTCTTGCAAGGAAGACGGTTGATGGCTCGGAACAGTAGGAGTTAAGAGAAATGATTTTTCTCTCGAACCCAATGGAAGGAAAGCGCGCCTTTATTATCCATGTCGCTTAAATTCAATGTCGCACTCTAATAGGTGCTCTGACCGTCGTCAACGTGGCGGCCGTCCAGCAGAGCACTATTAAGACCTGAGGTTTTGTCTTCTCCAGGAGGTTCGCCCGTAGAACGCGCATCTCTGGGGATATATATACATATATATACACCGCAATTTTGCCCGTCCCCTTTTGCTGGCTCCTTGATGTAGAGCCGCGCTGAAGGGTGAACCGACACAGACTCGCCGTTGCCATAGAGTGACTTGTGGAGAGCGGAGAGCCCTCGGGGCCCGCAAGCTACGGGGGGGCTTTTAGAGTTTTTCTTATCCTGCGTCCGCTAATGTTGCTTATATTTGTGTTTATGCGTTTCCACTCTACCGCCACTCACCTGTTAACTGTAGGTTTCTTCGGGTGTCCTGCGATAAAGCTTCCCTTTTCATCTTTGTAGCTCGCGTTTCCTCCATCCCGTCTCTAGGCTGCTTTCTTTGACGATCCGGTGGGACTAAAGGACCGGCTTGGGCTGCCGACACATTTCTTCGGTCGGATGAAGCGTGAGGATTTCATGGGAATCGCGTGTTTCCATGGATAGTTCCATGTTTCGGTGGCCAGAGGCTCATCGCCTCGAAGAGGTGGCCGCAGAGGAACGGACCACACTACTCAGTAAGGAGCGGCGGTGTCTAAAGGGTTAAGAGGGCCACCCCTACGCTGGTACTTCGGCGAGCGAAGGGGGCGTTAAGTGCTGATCGGTGCTGCCTTTGTCGCTTTGTGGTGTATGGGCAGCTCAAGTCGAAACGGCGCTCCTATTGTTGCTGCATCTGAGGGAAGAAGCTCTAAAACAGGAGATCCTAAGAGATGAAGCGCTGTCCCGGTGGCTAAGGAGTCTTCTGCCTCAGCTAACTCCACTTCATGAGCTTGATCGCCTTTCACATTGCCCTATCCCCTTGGCAATCCAAAAGTATGTATGCGCCTCCCCCCCCTCCCCGCCTCCCCATCAAACAGACTCAAACTCCGCCATGCCGCCCTAGGATCCGAGACGCTTTCCCTAAGAATTTGTACGCCGCTCACGCAGCCTGCGCGACGCGGCTCAGTCACGAACTGCTCGGCCCGCTGCCGTGATGTGTTCTCTCCTCTGCTTGTGGTGTTATTGCAGGCTTTTACTCCGGCTGTTTCTGCGCCTTGCACAGCTGCAGCAAGGGGATTCGCAGATTCAGCAGCAGCTGCGCCTACCGAGCACTGCATGCCTGGATGTTTGCTTGTGCTGGGAGGCCGCGGATGCTGATCTGTCTCATGCAGTTGCTGCGGCTCTGCTTGCCGCCCTAAAGCCCGCAAAGCGGCAGCAGCTAGCAGACGAATTGAGGGAGGTCATCCCCTCAGCAATTGACCATGCAACTGGTGCGATCTCAGCGCTCTCCAGAAGGCCCGAGCGCCCACTGGTTCCGACGCGTCCAGCTGCAGAGGGAGGAGAAGGAGTGCAGGAGGCGTGGCAGGAAGCAGCAGCTGTTGCGCTGCACGCCTTGATCGATGCTCTAGCGACGCTGCGAGTGGCCACCTGCTGCTTGCCGAATGCTTTCGCACTGCAGCTTTGGGAAGGGTTCAATGATGCGGACGGAGATACCGCATCCACAGACAGGCCGGGACTAAACTTCATGGCGCAACGACTCGCAGCTCCTAAGGACCCTTTCTCTGCTCCCTTGAGGGCCGCATATGCAGTTACAGTACGCCACTAGGCGCTAGTCTGAACGTCTCTCTCTCTCTCTGTATCTCTCTCTATCTCTTTATCTCTCTCACTCTCTCTCTCTTTCACTTTATCTCTCTCTCTTTATCTCTCTCTTTCACCTTATCTCACTCTCTTTATCTCTCTCTCTTTCACTCTCTCTCTCTCTTTCACTTTATCTCTCTCTCTTTATCTCTCTCTCTTTATCTCTCTCTTTCACCTTATCTCACTCTCTTTATCTCTCTCTCTGAACGGGTTGCTTTTTAACACCTGGTCACCTGTCGAAAGAGGCCGTAGACCCAGGGGACCACTTGTTGATGAGACTCGTTGTGTTCTGTACAGAAGTCGGCTTGAGGGCAGCAAGATGTTCGCGCAAGTGCAGTGTTTCTTGCGCTTCAGGGTGTGGTGTAAACTTGGAGAGTGTTGGGGGAGGGGGCATACGGCATAGGTGTGTTGGCGAATGGTTCCCTTTCCTGCGTGTCTCCGCAGTCACAAGCCCCTTGGTACTGCGCGTCAGACTCCCTCCTGCCTCTCCGGCTGCAGCAGGCAGCAGAGAGAGTCCGCCGGCTGGCGTGCAGCTGCCTGGTGGGGGCCTCTGCAGCAGTAAGCCACAATGTGCGGGAAACGCTGAGTCAAGACTCCAGCACGCGTCAAAGCAGACGATCGATCCAACAAGCAGAGGACCTGTTACAGCATTGGGGAGATTCGCTCTTGCAGCTCTTTGAAGTACATGCCGTACATACCCTAAGTCGTGGGCAGCCTCTCTCTCTCTCCGGAGGCGTGAATCTTAAGCACTTTTTTCCGCAACGCTTCACACACATACACACGGAAAGCCGTTCCTCGGACGCCGCTTGGGGCATGCGGCATCACCATCTCTAGCAGAAGAAGCAGTCCCTGGGGGAATATTCGCCCTGTACCTGCAGTGCGAATATGGTTGCCTCTGTCGATAGAATGGTCTTCGACGTCTTAGTTTTGCACTTTGAAAACCCCTCGTAGAGTACAGGTTCCAAGCGGCGGCGAGGGTCCCTCTCGGCTGCATGCGCTTGAACGTAAGAGGCAAGTGCTTCTCTTTGCTGCAACGCAGGCATGCTATTTGGAAGGCGGGGCAACCGAGTGCGTTGCCGAGGATTTGGAGGCGGCTGGCATTCGCCAGCTACAGCAGCTCTGGCGTTCTCTCAATATGTGCGCCGTCCTATCATGAGTGCCTCTCTTTTAACTGTTCTGGCTGTCTTGTGCCCTCTGGCATGCTGCGGCTGCTGTTGTTTGTCCTCCCTTAACTCAAAGGGTGGCCGAACTAGACGATCCGCGTGCGAGCTAAGGCCTCCCTAAGGAGCGGCGGGGGTTTGGTTTTTGTGCTTTGTATATGTATATGCCACGCAGAAACGCGGACCTTATGGATTATATTGAATCGATCGTTGCTCCACAGAAACCTGTAGGCGCCCTTAGTGGATGCAAAGTCTGATGGCGATCGTGGTGATGCGCTTTGACCTTATCGATGTTGATGTTGCTGCCAGCTGTACGTCCACAGTGCGTGGTGATGTGTTACACATGCATGTGTGTGCGTGTGTGGCGCTTTGACTGCCTTAGCAGGACAGTGCATCAGTCTCTTCTACAGCCCCTGCACCGTCGAGTGGTCAAGCAAAACAAGGAGACGGGCGCTGGGCTCTTTCACAAGAGGACGAAGCAACTGTGCAGTGAGTGGCATGACCGTAGGATGCAACGTCGATGATGCTAGAGAAGCTTTTCGAAGGGTTAGCTGGTATGCTGTCGAGTGCTGTAGCTAGCCTCTTGACCGCCAAGGGCTCCTTGAGAATTTTGCATCGCCGTTGCCCTCCGATGTCTCGGGCATTGTGCAATTTACTGCTGCCTCTGCGGATTCATCCGCGCTAACCTGCTCTGCTGCCAATAGTCAGGTGGGCATTCTTGCTCTTCCTGGTTCCTTTTGTGTTGATGCGTAGACAGTTGCAGGAGATGCTGCCCTCCTATGGCCAGGGATATCTGTATTTGGCGTTGAGGGAACAGAAGGGCGACGCAGATGAAGTTGTTTCTCTTCTCATGGAGAACATGCAGCCAGCAGCTCTTCGGAATGTGCCCGTCAAAGCCACACTTGAAGGCAATTACACCTCCTACTAAAGCTCAAGTCCCTGTGTTCTGATGCTCCGCTGCACAGCATTCGCAACGCTCGCTCGTCTCTGGCTTCAGTGGTTGTGCTGCCAGGGGGGTGCCTTGAACCTTTTAGGTGCAGCCCTGGCCTTTGACGATAACTCTGTACCCTAGATTAGGATGTGCAGGACGTGCTGCGTTCGAGATTTCGCAGATGCGGCGGCGTTGCTGGAGGCAGAAGAAAAGGGTTCAGCCCCTCCTCTAGGTTCAACGCCTGATGGCGCTGACCTTGAAAGACAAATTCTTGCTCTGGCGTACGCTAAGCCCCATATACGCTTCATCGCTGGCAGTACCAGCCACATACGCGTCGGCATTCCTGCTCTTTAAGTGGCGGCAGCTTCTGCCAGGGCAGCGCAGATCCTGCGCAGAGAAGCAGAAAGGATGCAGCGCAGCAACAAGCACAGCAGCGAAAGCTTAGAAATACCCGCCACACACACTTTGCACCTGCGCTGCAGAGAGAGAGCGGCAGAGGAGGCCTTGCTAGAGGACAGCGAGGTATCTGGCGGTTCGCTCTATGATGACGACGCCGATGAGGAGCTGCTGCTGGCTCAGGCTGCCGCTGCACCCTTTAGCCCCGCTGAAAGTCCGTACAGGCGGGTGCTTTGCAGGCGTTAGGGGTTCCAGGCTTCGTGATACAGAGAAATTCATGTTCTGGGGAGGGTTGTGACTCGGCTATTTTTCCGCACTTGGTTGTCTGATCGTCTTCACTGTCAATGCCAAAACTTTAGCTATTGAACTCAGGAAGCGACTGCACACACATTATGATTGAAGGCACATGTATAAATGGTCACATTAGTGCATTTCACCTTCGTCATTCAATCTCGTGCATCATCCACTGTGCACGTAGTGTATAGGGACCTTGCAGACGCATTGCGGCTTTGCGTTGCAGCTGAGGCTGAGGAAAGCTCTTCTGAGGAGGAGAAATGCAAGGAAGTTCCTGCTCCGGGTATGTTTCTTTTGGGAGATTCCTTTGAATCAGTAATCTGCTTGCCTCCCGGCTGAAGCTCTCCTGTCACACTGGTATTCGTGCTTCTACCCTTACTGGCCCTCGCTTTTTCTTTCGTGAGCACTCCTTCCTTGCCGCTGTGTCTTTGGCGACACGCCGGAACGCCTCTTACTGTGCTCGCTGCATGATTCCTTTTAGTATAAGCTGTATTCGGCGGTGCGTCTTTCTTGCGTGCGGGAGGGGAAAGTCTTGCTGCTTCGCTTTTGTGCCTCGGGTTCACAATTCTTAAGCTTTCGCCTCTTGAGACCAACGAAACGCTGGATGCTGCAAGCAAGCCCCACTAAGCGTTTGGTCTCATCTGCCTTAGGGCGTACGCCAGTTCGAGGGGGGACTCTGGCGGCTCGGAGGAAGGAAACAAACAAAGCGTCAATTGGAAATCATTCGCGGCGCAACCAGTAAGCAACACTGATGATGTGAAGGAGAGCTGGGCTTAGATAATTGGCTGTTGCTCTACGCTATTATGACGTTAAGTAGCGGCCACTGTGCCCTGTTGTTCTTCTGCCCTGCTGGAGTAGAAAGGGGTAGCACCAGCCGCACCATAAGGTGCTGACTGTCTTCTTTTACGCGTCTAAGAGCTGGCACAAAGAAGGGAAGCAACGCAAATTCAACTTGCCAACTCCCGCGATCTGTATGATGCGCGCATGCACGCTGAAAGGCTATATTCAGGTGTAACCCCAGAAACGTATCTTCACTGTTTTGGTATGCGGCAGATCATACTGCGTTGTTTGGGACTCTTGCTCTTTTTCGGACGACTGCAGGCGGAGACGCAAAATAGAGAGATGCATGGGCCCTTGAAGTGACACAAACTTTGAATGTGAACTTACTGCTGTCGGATGTGTATTGCCGCTTCCAGCACCTGACTGGCTTTCTATCTGAATACACGGCCGATGGCACTCAAGAGCTGAGACGCCCATCTAAGGTGCTTGACACATCAAAGGACTCATCTTCATTTTGTTCAAAGCCGTGAGGTCCACAATTTGGCAGCAGCGGCTAATGCCTTGCGATGTATGCACAAGGCCAAAATCCATAAGGAATCAAGTGAATGCATCTGCATGGTTGGGCCATGTGGAGTCACGTATTTTCGTGCTGCATTGTTTCCTTTCTTGTGTTCCCTACTAGAAGGACGCGCTAGAGTTATACGCGTGCGAAGAAGGAAAGCTTTGCGGCTGCGGTGTAGAGTGTTATAAAGGCATATTTGTCTTAATCAATTGTTTTCACATCCTTTTTGCAGCGAGACACCTCAAGTGACGTATGCAGAAGAGAAGAGTAGAAGTCGTAAAGAATTGGTCTTCAAGGCAGCTCGTAGTTGTACTTATAAATGGCTCTAGATATATTGCTCTGCCTTATCGTAGCCCGGAACTCGGATACACACGAACCGCACTTGTCTGCCGAGACCTAATCTGCTTATCGAACTGCAAGGCTCAAAGCCATGTTCGCAAATACCTATTCTGTAGATAAATATGTTCGCGACAAGTAAGAAAGGCTGGCATGCGAAAGTTTGGGTCATCGCACTGACTAATTGCGGACTGATAAAGTGAAAGGAGACAGAGAGGTTTATGCCAAATACGCCAAGCGACCAAACATAACTGCATAAACAGAAGGATTCTCTGGACCAAGAATGGGAAGTTGGGATTTTACAAAATTTGTGAACAGTTTTAGAGATAGTCAAACATTAACGGCCTACCCCACACGTGCATGAACGAAACCCCTTGAGAAAACCGACAGAAGCCAGCACCAAAGCAAGCTGATAAAAATCAAGCAAATCAACGGAGCCTGCCAATCGAGTAGATCACCTCTTGAAACAGGGAAAAGTATGGCCATGCGACAAGGGAAAGAACAGCGGAGCGGTAGGGCATGAGAGGGCCCAGCCTTTTATCAGTTCCAAACTCGGTTACGCGCTTGTACTCCTGTGGATTTACCAGCAGGCACTGGTACGCCAAGCAAGAAGGATTTGACTGCAGCTTGTCCTGTCAAGTAATAAAACGATTGCTAGATAACTTCGTCGAGCTTGGCAGAAAGGCCTATCAATTGGCGTTCCAAACGTTCAAGCAGCTAAGTTCTCTCAAGGTTCACAGAATGGGGCGCTTTCTGGGGATCGCAGCCCTATGCTGTTCTTTGTGAAGCCCACAAGAGCTCTTCCTACCAATTTCGAACGAGATACTACGAGTCTAACTGCATGGCGAGATATTCAAATGTAGTTGACTGACCTTCAATCGCATACAAAGGCGCCTACTTCTACAAAATCTTTTTAAAAATGACAGAACTCTACAGCCCCATTTGTATCAATGTTCTGTGCTGTCCGTGCCCGTCGAGGCGTGTACCCCTGTGGCCCTTTACACAAACCAGAAAAGCTGGAAGAATTACTACTTCTTGCTTGACACAGTTCAAGTACGCAATTGCACCAGCCTTATTCTTTCCTGTTTCTTCTTCTGCTACTGCAGTGTGCCGCATTCTTCTCGGTCGTCTTGTATTAAAGATCGGTCGAGTGCAGTACGTAGCAAAGAAGCAACAAGCCACGCAGATTGGCTTCCTTGATTAAGTAGGTGAAAGTATTATACAGAATTGCGCGTCTATACCATGTCCTTCCTGTCTTTCAAAAATACCTTCCCCATGATCTCACTTTCGGCGTCTGGATGCACCAGGTGCACTGCTCGACTGTTTTCCCTTTGGGCCTCCCCCTGCGTTTTCTGCTTCTGTGTGTGCAGCATCTTGTTTCACCAATTGCTCCATCCGTTCAAGCACCTCTCTAATCGCGAAAAAACGGCGAGAGGCGAGCTCAAAGGCAGCACGCGTCAACTCCTTGCTGTTGCATCCAGCGCCACCTGACCAACCACAGGAGCGCCTCCAAATAAAAACACACCATAAAGCGAAATAGAGCAGCACAAGATACAAGAAGTCATACAGAAGTCAAAGCAAGCGCAGGAAGCCAAAACGGAAATGTACACGACGAGAACTTCATATGATGATGAACAGCCGTTGCTAAAAGGAGCTGCAACACTACTGAGCAACAGGTAAACACGTATGGCAGCACGTGAGCATCCGACACAAAAGTACGTAGAAAAAAATTCGTCAATGCCCACAGTCCACAGCAGGAGGCGCAATTCCAGCAGAATCCAGAAACATAAAAATATTTTGCGGCAAACTGCGAGTGCAAACACTCAGGTGCTCCTCTTCAACACTGAAGTGTACAGGCGCCCGTTCACCGAGACGCTTCTCCTTCACTGGCCATTCCCTCTCCTACTACTGTTCTAGTTGTCAGGTTAAATGATGATAAGGCTTCCGATCCGTTTCCATCCGAACGTTCTGCAGAGCCGAGTGTGCACGAAGCTGTGAGACGTGAGGGCTTCCTACCAGTAGCAGAAGCCTTGTGAAGCCAATACATTTTTGTTCGCCCAAAAAAATCCCGCAAAGCTTCACCCTCTGCCGGCGTTTCCATCGGATCATCCAGTCCGAATTGCTCCTGAGGCCGCAATTAGACAAGGTGAGCAGATAAGGCATTACTAGCTGCACTTACAGCCACTGGCGTGCGACTTCTTGGCCACTGGTACAGCCATGAAGGAAGACTTCAAAGAATGCACAAGATGCGCACTGCGAGTGCTGTTGCGAATCCCCAAATCATGTTCCCTGCAGTCAGTGTTTCCAGTTGTATATCAGTCCATACATGTCAGACAGTTCTACTTCGTGCCCCTCATACCCGCAGTCGGTGCATCTCTTCTCTCACACGACCCATTCGGCCCCTTCTCTTCTCCAGTCCGTGTGTGGCCTCTGAGCCTTAAAGAAACAGAAAAAGGAACCATAACCAATGATACGTGCTGGAGTTTATTGCCTCAGGAGTTCAACCACCACATCCCTTTGTTCCGAGAGGATCAGTTGAGGCTGCCTTTTCAAATTAAAAATACTACACGATACAGATCATAGTGCTATTGAAATCTCGTGTATCGCGTACCATCGTCCGAGTTCGAACTCGCCTCCTCTTCGTCTTCTTCCGAGCTGCTGGTGTCGCTGCTGTCGCCGCCGCTGACGCTGTTACTGCCTTCGTCTCCGCTGCTATCTCGTTCACTGTCTGCTCCGAGCCACTCTTGTTGGTGCATTGTTCCTTCCAGCACCCGCACCCAACGGTCTCTGAGGCCAGCCAAAAGGGTTACATTGAATAGAATGCACATTAAAGTGGCGCAATAAAAGGAGCTGAAGCTTCAGCGGAGAGCGTACGGCAAATAATACTCCGAAAGAGAAAAACTGGAGGTGCTTCTGTTGGTGGTCGGGGTTAGGCAGCAGGAGCAACACATATGTATGAGGAATCAGTAAAGGAACCAACTGCTACAGTTGACTAGATGCAGCAACAAACTATTGGGGTATAATTCGATCCAAAAATGTTTTTGTACATGCGAAAAGCCGGTAACAGCCCTGGTGCTCGAATGAAAACAAGGAGTAACACACATTCCCTTCTCGTGCTAGTTCACTTCAACCAGGAAGAAGCAGCATGCGCCCAAATCGGTTGTATTGTTCCATGAATGGTTGCCTGATATGTGTTCATGTGTTGCTTATGTTGCCTAGACCCGGGAACAACAGAAACACCTGCATTTTTACTTTTCTGGAGGCGTCAGAGAGCCAGTTTCTGCCAGGTACTCGCATCTGTGAAATCAGTCTTAGACCTCATAGTTTAAGAGAATAGGTAGCAGCATTCTCTGCTCAAATTAGCCAGATAAATGTTGTCCCTTTCACCAGGTTTCAAGTGTATAACCATTTTGAGCTACTGTAATATACTGGTTTACTATGGGTTGGGCACAAGTAATAGGCTGCAGTTTACCTCTTGTTCAAGTTTAGGGTCCAGCAATCATCTAAGGTTATTTCTTTGCTGCCAATCTCCACGATGCCGCCCATCAGCACCAAATTAGAGCCCCGCACAGTTAAAAGGCCATGCAAGCGGGGAAGAGGAACATCTCCAGAATATAACGCAAGGGGCTTTTGCTTTGCGGAGGAGGGGGCGATGGTTGTAGACAAGGGTGACGAAGCGGCTGGCTCTGTTGTTGGAGCTGCTGTCGGCGTTCTTACTGCTTTTACTGAGGTTGAGCAAGCACAAAGAGTAACCTCCGGGCCTTGCTGATTATGACTTGCGACGGAGGAAGTCCCGTCAGGATTTCCGCCTTGGCTTCCTACTGTTGCTGGAGCGGCAACGGCCGCAGATGCGGTCGTGTTGGTGCTGTTGCTGCTGCTGAGGCTGCATGACAGCAGATCTGGCTCTGGAAGAGTTTGAGGTTGCTTTTTGTCATGTGGAGATGAAAAATCAGCATCTAATGCTGAATCGCTGTCACCCATAAAATCCTTGAGCTTTACCTTCACCAGACGGCCCTTCGAATCAAAATATGCAAAGTATTTCTGAAGGAAATGCACACAAAGCACCATTAATCCCACTCACACGCACCAAATTACACAAGCATACCGGTATATGCCTTTCTACACTGAGCACGCCAACTCTGCCAGCAAACTCAATGCACGTACAAAGAAATATGCAATAACATAGCTGCCAACGGCCACGCAGTTAGATTTCTACACAAGTGAACTAGCAAAAATACATCCACATTCAAACGAATCGAGTGAGCAATACCCCTCCATTCAAAGCACTGCACTGTTGTACTTGGGTGTGCTAGCGCATCTTCTGCTAGATTCACTGCCCACGGCCAATAACGCGCCACGCTGTAGCCAAAAAGACTTTATAGGAAGATTTGATTAAGCGCCTTGGCACGAAATATCTCTGTGCCACAGGAATATAATAATCAAAACAACTTTCACTATGCTCAATTGTGGACTTCAAGTGCATAGCTTCCTGCTCTGATCTTGCGAGAAGAAACATATAGAAAAACCCATACGTTAAAGCTGTATACACGACACCGCGCAAAGTGGAGATGACACAACAGCAGTGACGTCCTTGGCGCTCCTTGCCTCCCAGTTGTCTTCGTCTTCGGAGGAATCTTTGTCGCTCTCTGAATTTCCGTTTCCCTCTTCTTCTACCCTGCTCGCTTCCACTGAAGAACACAGGGCAGATTTCTCTTTTTCCTTTCTTCGTTCACCAGGCGCCCTCCCCTTTGCTGGTTTGCTGTATAATACAAAAACGAAAGTAGTCTTCGTGCTTAAAACTCCATCTTAAACGGCGTACCTCCTGTCCGGCCGTCTCGGCCGCCTGCTTGCTTCTTGGTGTTCTGTTTCTTTCCGGTCTTCAGTTCCAACCGATACCACCGCCTGCATCAAAGCAGACGAATGAGTAGAGCAAACGCGAGTGATTAAGGAATGCCAGGAACACGCAATTTAGATGTAAATCGGACTCTTATCCACTCAAGTTGCAATAATGATTCAGAGAAATCCTGTTCACGCGCTGCACACATATTCTGATGGCTTCAAAGCTAATGTTATAACGCATAGCGTTAGGATTTGTGGCTATGGTAGGTGTTCCCTGCCTCTTTGTAATATCGAATGAGTAAAGATCATTGAAAAACGTGGAGGATAAGTTCGTTCCTCCATCGTCTTGATCAGCAACGCCTCCAAAAACGATAACGCTGGACTTGTATCCGATTGAGCACATTCCTAAACAAATAAAAGTATAAGACCAATGGCCTGCTTCAGAGTTTGAGGAGTAAACAGAACAAATTACGCTTAAATATTCGAACTAACCATATGCATCCATTTCTTCTAATAGACTGATATTCATACACGAAAACTCTTTTGCTGTGTAAATGCGGCCTCATGCACCACTTTGGACGTGTCTGATCAATAATAATGACAGTGAGAAAACAGAAGAGCGTACAAACAGTCTGGGCAATATCAGCAGCTGCTTGGCAGTAACACGTAGCCTTAAAATCACCGCTCGACAGGAATGCTTCGCTCCACACAAAGCAAGACAAGAAGTACCATTTTATCAGATGCTATTCTGAAGGGGGAAGGTACCACTAGCAGAAACAAACGAACGAACGCTAACATGGTAACAGCGCATCACGACACTAGGAGTAAAACACAGGACACCACATCCTCTGACCAGTCCGCGGTGAAGGAGGTGCTCCAGAGTTTTTTATTTTTTCCCAAGTTGGAATCTGCGATGAGAAACTCTTTGACAGGGGCCGCAAATCCAGCAGCCATGAATCCTAAACAGTTCAGTCCACAACACCAAAAAGATACTTATATGTAGCCCTTAAACAAACCCAAAGACAAGAGGCGGCTGTCAAGAAAGTGCCAGTCATCAGAATAACCAAGAACACATAATCTTTAAAAATGGCGGCTAGAAGCAGCTGCGGTCAGAGTGAACTACGACGAATTAAAAAGGTGGCAAATGCAGCTGCTGCCAACCCCAAAAAGCAGATCAAAATTCACTGAGGAGACGTACAACATACGCCCGCATGACACCCCAACCAATCCCCGCATCCAGATATAACGAGACATAATGCGAAGTACCACAAATATGAGCCTCAATCTGGTGCAAAAAAACGTCGTATGAATAGGAAATAATGGGTGTCTACAGTACAGCAAGAGATTCATGGATATTTGAGAAAATCTTACCGTAAACGTTTTACCCTGGACGCGTTTGTGGGTGTCTCTGATCTTCGCAAAGCCCCCATGAAGGAAAACAAAATCTCCCACGGTGACGAACACGGAGCCGCCTCGAGGCTCAGGCAGGTGCGTGTGGGGTGGGAACTCTATTTTTCTCCATCTGGAAAGGAAAAAGGCCAAATATCAGCTAGGGCATATCGTTATACGGCTACGCTAAATGGTTTTCTATCTTTAGCAGAACGAGATAGGAACGCGAAAGATGTATTCGGTTTCCCCATATCTCTCCATCAGCTTCACAATAGTATAAAATAGTGCCACCTCCCGTTCCCTGAGACACTTTACTACATCAGGTAATTCAACAAGTAGCACGAAAACAAGCGCATTTTAAAGTGTGATTGTACTGACTTGTTTTCGCTGAAGCTGAAGATGTGCAGGTCATTATGGTACTTTGTATCTCTACCCGTGTCATGAAAACCCCCAAATAGTGCCAACAACCCCCGCCAAACCACCTGCAAATGTCGGCAGACCGAAAATGGCACACGAACGCACATCAAAAATGTGCATCTCCTTTAGCATCATGGATAACAGTGACAATGGTACAAGGGGAACAACGGTGGCAGGGACAAGAAGTACATAAAGAAAGCGATTCACTAAGCTAAGCAAAACACCCGCCCTTCATATGCTTGGGAGCTTGCAGGAATGCAGTTCGTTCTTAAAAAGTAAACCAATAGCTTTAGTAAATAGAGTAGGAGAAACGGAAAAGCCGGAATGTAAGAAGTTGGTAGAGTCCCTCTAACTAAGCAGTTTCCTACCATTCGATGGCCACTTCTTGGTGAGGGGGCTTGAGCGGAGCTTTCAACTAAGATCTTCTTCCAGGTATTGGCCTTTATATCAAAGCGCCAAAAGTCCTTGAAATGATGGAACTGATAATACGTCGAGAATTCCCCACCAAATACATACAGGGCATCGCTGGACGCAAAATTTTGCCAAAATCAATCTGACATGCCAAGTTGTTAACTAATATAAGTGCCATCTAGGTCAGATGCCGCTAGCAACGCATGAATCATGAAAAGCGCCGGAGAAGAAAGAGAAATCGACTGCGATAAGCATGTGCGACCATATGCATAGGGCATAGCGAATTGAAACGAGTGCAAATAAGCCTCCATTTCATCCAATCGACCATATTTTGGCATCCTTATGGCGGATCCGTCAGCAACAGTTGACTGCTGCAGATCCTCGCAGCCGCATCACCATGTTTTTAACCTATGTGCAAAAGCTCTCCGTAGGTATTGTGGCGTGCGGTCGATGGAAAGTGTTTAGCGCGAAGAGCTTCGGACTAATGGCACATGGGTCAGTGGTGGGATTTGCCGCCTAACGCATTGATAAGTGTTGTTACCTGTGTAGAACAGCTTGGTGGGAACACCTAGCCTTTGGGGATTCTGGTGCTTCTATCCGCTTCCATTCGTCCTTCTCAATGTCAAACTTAAAGAGGTCTCCGTATACCCGTACCTTCTTCCCATCATAACTCTCTCCCCCAAACAGCAAGAGGTCGCCGCTGCAAACAAAGAAGATCCAGTGAAGACGAATAGGAGGTGGAATTGCGAGCAATACAATATTAATGGGTATACCGAGGAAATAAGCGCAATGAAAAAACCTTCTTTGCCTCTAGGGTACACACTCACCTCAGCTGCTACTGTGTTCTCAAGAAGACTGCATACCTCGGAAGAGCAGTTAGTGACGCATGAGCCCTAGGTGTAGGCTGCTTGCATTGTACGATCTGTGATTTGTTGATCTGCCTTTGCCTTTCTTCCTCTTCTAGCTGTCGCAGCAAGACCTCGATTGGAACTTCTTCTCCATCAATTTCACCTTGCTTCTGCCTTTTTTTCTGCTCCTTTGCGGCAGCCTTCTTCTGTTGTAATTCCCTCCTTGCAGCTTTTCGCTGCGCTCTCTTTTCGCTGCCCTTGGGGCCACCCATCCTTCCTAAGCTAAAGGTTGTAGAAGTGAAACAACGATCTACGCAGAAGAATGAGGGTCAGCGAAAATGGCAAATGCAGCACCCAACGCAGACACAATAGCCTCAGCCCGTTTTTCTCTGCATAGGCTTCTACACGGCTCGCAATGTTCGAGCAAAATAAAAGAGCAAGGAGGAAGAATAGAAGAAGTCCATTACAAAGCCATAACAGCTTCAAGCAGGGCTCTGTAGATTCACTATCAATACCTGACCGCTCGCTCAGAAGCGGCTTCTTTCTCTTTATAAAAGCCAATAAAAGGGATTCCTTGTAAAACGTGCACAAAGGCTAGACGCTTCACGCGCTGCCCCGCATGATTCCAGTTGCTCGTCAGGCGCCCCCGAGGCCCAAGGCCCCCCACTTTTTGCTAGTGAGATCGATAGCCCTCTACTAGATGCGCTAAAAGAGAATTTGGTGCTGAAACATGGTTTATAACGAGTGTCTTGCTTAGGGATCTGTCGTATGGGGGTTTTGTACATGATGGTACAGCCAGCAAATTCTTCGCGGCGTGCAAATACCGCATGGTTATAGGATTATGCTTTTTTCAGGTGCACGTCCAGCTTGGTACCACTTGATTATGCAGTAGAAATTTTCTCCTAGGGATCATGCAAATGGGCTCCTCATAGTACAGTGGCAGCGTATGGGCTTTGAAGAACATCACTCTAGCCTTCCCGAGATGGCCGATCGACGAATGCCCTTGCGGTAGTCGTACCAGTAATGCTCACGCATTCAACATCTCTTCCTCGTTTCAGAAGCTTCTTCATAATCACTTTCAAGGGCGAAGCCGTTCCTGTTTGTCAATTCACGCCATCTCCAAAATTCACGCATTCCACAATCAGTCTTCAGGGGCACTCGACAGGAACGGTTGCTCTCCTTCCTCGATTATCCTCTTTTCTCCAGAATTCTCAAATCCTTACTTCTTCTGACCTTCCTCTCATTACCCTCTTGTCTGTTTAGCTTATTTGTGCTCCATTCACGCTCATTACACGCGCCTCACGCGGCAAGGATTTCCCCTAAAGGGGCATTCGGTAGGTCCTGCCTAGAGTTCTCTTCGCCAAAACCAGAGAAGGCGATCGTTGTGAAGCAAGTTCTACAGTGGAATGGTGGCATTGTCGCATTCATCTCTCCGTCTTCAAGCAACGTTCAACCCATTCGAGTGCTGGTGGCTACGTTTCAGCCATCAGGCAACCATCCAGCTGAATAATGCACGCAATCGCTTTCAATACGCGTCACTCTATACACGAAATAATAACCGAACAAGGTTGATTCCGAAGATGCCAATCACGAACGAGCCCTGTGGTTTGGTCAGCAAGCAGAGGATCTCTTCAATTCATTGTTTTCTCGAGGGCCCACTAGGGGGCCCTGTTGACTGCCTCGAAAGCATACTCATCAGAGGCTCTGAATTTGTTTCACAAGCAGATCTACAAGAGGCGAAAAGGCCATCATATACGAGGTGGCCTGTGTAAAATCGCAGCCCGCTCTTTCTTCTATGCAAGCACTTCGTATCTCTTAAATAACGCCTCAAGTTCTCTGAATAGACGAACTTATTACCCCGTCATACACAAACTACCAATTAATACGGTAAAGCCATCCCTTTATCACAAAAAGCGCCACGGTAGTGGTGCGTGACTGTGAAGCCCTTGACAAAGCTCCAATGCCCCCTCCTGTCTTTTCCCCTCCACCAGCAGGGTGGTTCTGCTCCCCTAGAGGATCCGATGTGTGTCACGCTCATTTGCGTTTGCGGCTAGCGGCAGAATATGCTCAAAAACAACCGGAAAATTGAAGGCGGAATGAATGTATTTTTCCAGATAACCATTAGGGTGGTTCTGCTCCTCTAGAGGATCAGCTGTGTGTCACGCTCATTTGCGTTTGCGGCTAGCGGCAGAATATGCTCAAGAACAACCGGAAAATTGAAGGCGGAATGAATGTATTTTTCCAGATAACCAGTAGGGTGGTTCTGCTCCCCTGGAGGGTCCGATGTGTGTCACGCTCATTTGCGTTTGCGGTTAGCGGCAGAATATGCTCAAAAACAACTGGAAAATTGAAGGCGGAATGAATGCTTTCTCAGATAAAACACAAGAGCATATACGATACTACGAAGGCAGCGACAGCCTGGTGCAATGTGGGCACGGATCTGAAACGCTGCCACAGTTTCCTCTATCTCTGTCGGCGGCACCCTGCACATTGAACAAGGCTGACAAGAGAAAAATCTCGAAAGAACAGAAAGTATAGCCACGAGATAACGAGAAAAGAGTCAGGCATCTGTAGCGACGGCTTATGATTGTGGTGTGCTACCAGGCGTGGATCCATTTGTGGGATGAGAACTCGAATCTTTTTAAAGACCTGCAACCAGGAGATAATATCCCGTAAAAAACAATATCAGAGCGGCAGAATCCACCAGCAAGTGCCGTCTCATGCGTTTCGACAGAACGCTCCACCTACATCGCACCACGCCGCACACCGACACCCCCCGTTTGACCTTGCGGGAGAGAGGTCAACGAGCATATAAAGATGAGAAGACGCAAAGAAAATAAGGCGTGCAGAAGACAGTCTGATTTATCAAAAGCAGCTTATGTGAATGAGTTGTCATTAACACAAAATGCAAGCATTATTCCATCTCCCCACCTTGACCTCAAGGCACTGCTGCTCTCAATCCGGCGCATACCGGGAGCATGCTCAAGGCACCAACTGATCCCGAGCACAAGGTCAGAAAGGGGCACAAACAAACGAGCAGAAAACAAGAAGTTTTAGTGCGAAAGGAGGATGTAAAAAGGGGCATATGGATCGGGAAGCAAGAAACCGATAACATATGCGTACCGAGAAACAGTGGCCGGCTCGGTCTCTGCAGCACTTGCTTCCATCATTGAAGCGAGCAACCGCTGAAGGTTCACTCTATCCTCGTCAAGTTCCCTTGATGGAATATGTACTGCTGTGGCTTCTCGTCCTTCTGGTGCTGCCCCAAGGGCGAAGTGGACTGGCTCCTCGGCAGCATGGAGGCCACTGTTCCCAGCATTCTTGGCTACTACTGTGACATTGACTTGAGGCTCTAAAACACCTGTAGCGCTTCCAGCTGCTTCACTGGACTCACAAGGAGAGCCGCTGAGCAGCAGCAGCATCACCAGGAGCTCCGCGAGAAGCGGCAGCCGACGTTGGCATGTCGGCGCAAGGGTCCCACCCTTCTGAGCTCCCTGTGTAGAGATCATCTAGAAACAGTTAGGGACAGTGTCTCATAACCCTTCTAATCCGTGCAACCCAGCCAGTAAGGGGAAAGTGTGGTGATGCCGATTTTAAAAGCCGTACGTACAATACGCTCGGATTTCAGTCCCCAGAGCACTCCGCACTTAAAAGCAGCAGCTACTGGTACAGCACGTGCGTGACGAGATGCTTCACCCTCACAGCCACTCAAGCAGAGTAGGGACCATGATGCATCTGTTTAGTCGCCTGAATATTTTGAAGATTGCTGTGTCCCGTCGGACGCCGTGGCACTGGATCCCTGTGCCTACCGCGGGCGGTAGTTGACAAGAGGAGAAAAGGGAAAATTAGAGCAAGATTGAGGCAGAGAGAAGAAAGCAAAAGTGAAGCCTTAGGCAGCGGAAGCAGTATCGATTGAAGGGCTCCGATACGGCTGGCCCTGACTCCCCTGCCCCGCGGAACCGTGACAACTTGCGGTTACGCATGAATACTAATAAAGCAAATTCACATCAAGAAAATTAAAAGTTTATAACGTGGACCTTTCACGCAGAGCGAAGCACCATAAGCATGCTGGCCAAATCGCTTCCAGCCCTTTTTTGCGGGATTCAAGCTACAGGCTAACATAGAACACGCCAGAGCCCTCTGTACCCACTTCACAATAAGGTCCACATATCACACATTTTAATGCTGAGAAAAATGAAGACTATAACGCAAGCGTTTGTTCTCTTGGCTCCACATAAAAGGCAGGAAAGTGTTGCAAGCTGCTCTGAAAAACCCAAGTCGCTCTGGTGAACTGGGGCACACCTACTTTTTCACGCGTTCTACTACACTAGTCATATTGTATTACGGATAAGAAACAATGAAATACTTGATTTGGCTGTTTCTGCGTCTTACCTATTTTAGTGTACTTGTGTACCTGATACAAGATGATGCGTTGCGTGCATGTGCGCTGGATGTGATGTAAAACTAGCTGTAAATGCTCAGAGTGCTTAGAGGGTGCAGCTATGCGCACACAAGCTATCCCTCTACCATAATGTTTGGATTTCTCGGGGGCGCGAGAAGGGGAAGGAGGGAGTTCTTTTGACACGCTCTCCAACTTTCTGTCAGTTTGTATTGAACGTGGAGACAACTTTCTCCCTAGGTTGATCTTGGATGTGGTCTTACAAGCCTCGTGCCACCTGAGGGCAACGGTAGTGGCAGAATGAGGTGGCCTTCTCTGTTAGAGCAAGAGTCCTCCGTATTCCCCTTGAGTAGGGTGGTAGTTTCGGCGTTCACTGAACAGAGTCTTGTCGGGACACAAGAGCAGCATTAATGCTTCTAATGCAAAGATGATGTTGCATTTATTGCTTTGTGAAGGAGACATGTGCGTGTGAGTACTGCAGCTTGACGTTGGCTAATGCACTACGGTAGAGAGAAGAGAGATTCAGGCAGCGAATAAAGTCGAGAATCAGAGATTCTGACTAAAAATGCGATTGCAACCTTCCCTCTAAAGCTTTGCCAGGAAGGCGGCTCGCCACAAACCCAATACAGGGACTACTGGAAAGCTATTGAGTGCTCTTCCAAAAGAGCTTTCGTGTCTCCATAAACCTTGGTTTTGGGGTTTCGGCATGAGAAGATAGGGACAGCAAGAATGCCCGTTGCTGGACTGTCCAAGCACTTCAGTGATTCACAGCTAGGTACGTATTTCCTTAAGAGTACACAAAATAACAACATTGATCTACTATGAATCCAACTGTTGTCTCCTACTGCCACAATAGGAGAGCACCCGAACCAAGTAGCCAATTCTTTACCAATTCTTGAATCGAGGTAACTACTGTGACGCTTATGCATACTCTAGCCCACTACACATGGGGTAGTTCCAAGGACTGCTGCTATTTTTGCATTTTGCTACGTTGTGTTCGTTCTGTTGCAAGCGTTGGGGCTGCCCACCGTGATGGCCAATACGCCCGTAGACCTGTGATCTAGTCTGTTACAGCAATATCGTTGTTATCTTAACCCCCTTATGTTTACTTAGAATAAGATACGCTTTACTATGTAACTGGGTACTAGCAGATTTCGCCCTGTCTGGGACAAGAATCAAGGTATTCGCGACTAGGCTCCTATTGATGTATCTGTGTTTCGCGCAACTGTGTGTACTGCATAGACCACTCCTGAGGTGCAGCGCGCTGCAGACTGCTTGTGCCTTTCGTCCAACGCCAGATTCCTATGGTTTTAGGGAAACGGATAATTCAGTCTTTTCTGACGGCGCGTAGGCGAGTCCCCACCACGTATCTAGTTTGTCGTAATGTTGCCGAACTCCGTATGAACAACAACTACAACATGATAAACATCCGTCTAAAATGCAATGCACGGGCCGTATGCGGTAGGCTTTCCCATTATCTGATCCGAAGACGCTGGGAATGACAAAGGCCTCATCGGCTCGAGGAGGCTGTGCGTATTTCCCCTGCCACTACACTGCTACCTGCCATTATTTATTACTACTGATAATGATATTCATGTTTTTAAAATCGACCTGAAATGAAAAATACGGCTGGGTAATTACTGCCTCATTTCACTTTTCATAGTTGGTGAGCTCTCATGGTGAGTGAAGAGCGCTTCTTTCCAGGCCTTAATTAATCTGTTCTTGGTTTGGTCAACTTTAACTTGTGAAATAAGTCCGTCGGCTCTGCTTGATCAGTTTGATGGTTGCATTGGAGCCAGCCCTTCGAGGAGTTGCCCAAGTGTGTATCATGCTGTTTCGTTGAGTTAAACAACAATATCTGCGCCAGAGTATAGCTATACTAGCAGGATGCATCACTTAAATGGCCACAACTTTGGGCATTTGAGAAAGAGACAATAACTCGTGAGCTGTATGGGGGATTACGTGCGGTAACTATTTGTTTTTCGTGAGAGATCACGCAATGCATGGACAAGCTAAGACCCATTTTCGGCTAAGCACTGTTGCAGATGACAGCTTGAGAGGTGGAAACATGATCTTCTACGCGCATTTGAGAGTGAAGCAGCGCATTGAAGTAATTTGTTAAGGGCACATGTTGCGGCTCTCCCAGGATATAGAAAACATGTAAAACAACCAAGCTACAAGCCACAAAAAGCTGGGGAATTTGTGTGTGGCCCTAATTCGACGCGCGGCTGTTACATATCAGGAATGACCCGTTGTATCAGGCTCAAGGAGCAAACACCCCATTAGTGAAGGGAGTACCGTCTTTGGCGGGCAAGAAAAAGAGAATAGGCCGTTGCCAGCATAAGCGATATCCAATAAAAGCTTCCTCACGATAAATTGCGGTTTCATTTGAAGTCGGGGTGCTCCATATTTCTGGACCACGAATGCGACACTAACAGTCAAATGCACTGAGAAAAGGTCAAGTTTTGCCTTCAAACCCTGAGCTTAGAATCCTCAGAATAATGCTCTCTGATTCTGAGCAGTGTGAATTTGCTTGCCTCAGAAAAAATAATCAGGAATCGTAGATGACCACGAACAGGCTCGAACATCGAGAAAATATATAAAGATTAGCAGAAGCCACTCTTGCCAATCGGCGGGGCGGGGGGCAAAGGAAAAATCAAGATACAACAGCAGAAAGATGGGGTAACAGTAATTAAATATCGCAGGACAGAAATGAGTGAAGGAGAAGAGAATCATGAGCATTGATTCGATACATATGAATGGGTAAAGTGCCGCACACTAGGCGTCGTCCAATATTGAGCCTATTACTCCACTCTGTAACCACCACTCATCAAGTGCATGTGCTCCACGCGTTAGAACAGATATGCTAAAACATATAGAAATTGTCATCTTGGCATCGTGTCCCTTTCTTGTTCCTTTTTAAACCACGGTGGCCTGCCCCGTGGGGCCGACACTCCCGTACCCAAAGGGCACCGATTTAGCAGAGGAGTGTACTCCCATGGACAGTTGCCTCCTGATTCTTATTTGCCCATATGTTTTTGCAAGTGCGTTTATCAAAGTAGGCAGCAATACCCCAATTTTCGATCTATATGTGTCTATGCACTCAGACGGTATCGGTGGGCTTTCCATTGTAACGTGGATATCGATTTGTGCCTAAACGGAGGTGGTGTGTTTGCCAGTGCTTTTTGATCGGTTTATTTACATTTCCTCCCTCTACGGCTTTTTCAGCTATGCCTCAGTGCCACTGAGTGTCCGACTTTGCCAAAATCTTTCTGTCTTATGTTGGTCTAACCACATGCGTGTTCGTGCAAACCGCAGTGCCTCGAAACCTTCTCCCTTCGTTCATTCGGTTAATTTTCCTCAGCTTATCTGACTCTCGGCACCTGTACAGTATGGCTGCCTCTCCCTCAGGCTAAATAGAAGACAGGTAGCTGACGCATGCAAAGTGCAAGGACAACGCCAGTTGCGCACAAAGCCATTGAAACACCTACAGGGACGATCATAAATCAGAAAATGGACTCTAAGGAGGAAATGCGTCTCGACCTGGAGGAGCTGGCTTCATTTCTCAAGACTTCAAAGCGAGCTTCAGTCAGCCGATTGCTGAGCGAGCAGTGCCAAAGGCTTAGGGATCAGATTCAAGAGGTAACCCGCCCTGAGTCCCCATTTGTAGAAAGTGGAGGCAGCGCATAATGTATCAAGTATCGTATACAGACTGCAGGCAGCCGGTGGTCTTCTTGGTCTATGCCCCGTCACTTTCCTGCCTTAGTTCCAGCTTTTACGAGTATGCTGTAGCCTCATTTCTTCTGTTCTTCTGGCCTTTACATGCTTTGCACAGATAGAGCGGATACAGGAAAGCGCTGCACAGGCTCCTTTATCTGTAGAGGTTAGCTCGGCACTGCAGATATTTCAGTTGACGAATGTACACTCCTCTAAACCTAGCAACGTAGGGCTAGTCGTCTTGGGTAATCATGACTGTAACACACTTGCGACACGATTTCAGCAATGCTACGCCGATCGCGAAAGCCCAGTCAGAAAGGATAATTTTAAACGCTTTAAAACGGCAGTGGTGTTGTTACATATCTGTGATTAGGTAAAGGGCCAAGAAAAGCGACAAGACCCACCTGCTTGCTGGGTTATCCACAGCTAGCATTTAGGGTTAGGGGCTAGAGCGACGAATTGAGGCGTGAGGTATGTGCTGTCTGCGTCCATACGCACTTGAAGGTCTTCAATACCATCGACAGATTTGCATGGGACCAAACCCCTCAGTTCGTCAAGTGAGCGCAGCATCTATCTACTACTGGTCTTGGATTAGATTACAGAGCTCCTTTGTAGATTTTTTACGACGAGAGGATGGAAATAACAAAAAGCCGCTAAAGAGGTTTGCGGATGTTTTGGCGGTCTGCTTTGAGCTTCTTTTAGGGTGTATGTGGAGCTGGAGGGCCTGGCGTCCGTTCGCCCTGAAGAAGCATCTGCTCACTTCGAAGAGCACAGTGCAGAATTCGTTGTATGCCGAACCAAAGATCACCCTCTGCACATGCAGTTAAGGCCAAGCACTGGAATACGCATGCCTAATTAAGAGCAAGGCCAGGACTGCCAGACGGCCTGGGGTCCCAGCCTCGGTAGATATTGAGACAGCTATGTCTGCACCCTTACTTATTCCGCAGGTGCGGAATTTAAAGCAGAAGAATTACTCTTTAAAGTTCCAGCCGCTACACGCTCCTATCGATGTGAAGAGTAAGACAAGGTCATAGTCCCTCCTTGCCTTCGCTTCAGCCTGGGGTTTAGCGCTTACGGTAGTGAGCCCTGAGTTTGAAGTCTAGGGTGTGAGGATTGCAACACAGCAAGGGTCATGAGGTGATTGCAGGTATGTGGGGTGAATATTCATAAAGTTACATGTCAAACAACAGGGGGCTCAATGTACAGCCTGAGGCCTTCACTCCTACAGTGAATGTGACCAACTATGCTCTCCGTGCTTCTTTGGTGTGCTTAGAATCAAATTTTTCAATTAAACGCAACACCGCGACTCTGCGTTTAGCTAAGGTGCGCACTTCGCAAACCCCAGAACGCGAGGGACAGACAAACGGATCCCGTGTCGGCTGAAGTCGCCAATTCTGATATGTGCGCGAAATTGAATTCACCAGAGTTGCCTGGTTACGGGTTGAGTCTAGACGGGTCAGCGCACTAAGCCAGCTGTCAGTGCTTAGGATAAGGAACTGGGTTTTTCGTTCAGCTCCGCCCCGGCGAGCACTGGGAGTCGATCGCCAAAATAGCTCATCAAAACGTGATTCCAAAGCCAGACCTCTCATCAGACCCTTCGCAGTCCATAATGAGCATGATGAAGAGCCTCTACGATCAGGTAGCTTGTCATTTTTGTCGCTTGCCCACCCCGAGCCATCAATCAAGTCGCTTGGGTTTTAGGCTCATAAGTGCTCTTGACGTGTTGCCTCCCGTGCCCTTCTTGCATATCCATATATACCCATATACGACGACCCGCATAATCCTCCCCTCCGTCCGTCTCCCCGCATAACGCGTTCTCCATCTATGATGTAGGCGCTTCTTTCCAGCCTTGCAAGCGCTGCCTTTTGTGTCCTCAGGGTGACAGCGAAATGAAGAGAACAATTGCCAAGGCATGGGTATAGCCTCACCCCCGACGTCCTCCCAATGCCCTTCCCAGTTGTGCCTGTCAACCATACGCTTTTGCTACCCCTTTTCTGCAAGTCGAGACCCCGCACTACAGTGAACGTCTCCAAGTCAGCTACCCTCAAAGAGCGCCCCTATGTCATGCGCCGATTTAATTGACGTTTCCGCGGCTGTCTTCCCTGGAGCTGTGTGCAGACCGAGTCCCAAGAAAGAAAGGTGAAGGGGTCGTTCGCCGATGACGGGATATTCTAAGCCCTTCGAAAGGCGATACAGGGAAAAATGGTCACGGAAAAAGGTGATGATGATGCAGGTATAGGTAAACACCCGTAGATGAGAATGGGTGGGAAGCGAGATTTCACGCGTTGACACAATCAGCGCCTGTTTCGCCTATCTGTACCCCCCCTGTCTCGTCTGTTCCGGTATTCGCCCTGGCTGAGCTCGCTTGCTCTACGCTGCAGAGCTATAGCACCTACACTACACACCGGAAAAGGAATTTCCGTGCTACTTGGATTTAAACCACTCCTCGTCATTTTATGCAATGCGGGCTTATAAAGGAGTAGGCAGCTAAGTCCCTATACATACTTTTGTTCAAAATCTACAACTGGCAAACCATACGACGAATTACGAGCCTGTTGGAATAAAGCACTTGAGAAGCGCCTGGGAGCGATAAGAATGCTAGCCCAACTGTTCCTCAGTAAACACGCCCGCAGCGCGCCGCGTCACATTCAACTGTTGTTGTAGCATCTGCACTAACTGCAGCTGCTTTACTTTAGAGGAATGAAACGAGAAGAGTGTGTAGCGCCAATGCCCGGCTTTCCGTGGCGCACGGGCTTGTAGCTCATTGAAAACTCTCCGAGGTAGTAGCCAACCATCTCTGGCTGAACACAAGCAACAAATGCATGCCCAAGCAAATGCCCACTAATCGAAATCACAAGAAAGCAAGGACCCTCAGCAAATACTGGCGGAATGGGACACGAAGGCCGCATGGCTCCCCGAAGCGCAGTGCCTGTGTGGAAGCGCACACCGTACCTCTCGCCGTCCCATCTATTTGCTGCTTCTGCATCGTAATCCTCCTCCCTAATTCTCTTACCTTAATTTCTACATTGATGAACTGCTTGCCGTTGTAGATTCCAATTACCGAGCCGATCATCTCCGGCACCACCACGACATTCCTGAGATGAGTATTGACAACAGGCGGCTTCTCTCCATAAGGCAGGTGCTTCTTCGCATTTCTCAACTTGTTCATCAAAGGCAGAGCCTTCATGTTGATCCCCCTGCTAAACTTTCTCCTCTGCCGAGCCCTGAGCAAATCGACGAGCTTGTCCAGGGGAAGCGTCACCAGCTTTTCTAGGTCTACGCCCCTGTAGGAGAACGTGCGGAACGTCCTCTTGCGGGGTGCCGACGCGTCTTCCGCCTAAACGCAAGCATGTATAACGAACATGAAAAATCAGATGCCACAGGATGGAAAACACCTGTACCAACATAACTATCGATTACTAGAGCGGGAGACGGGATGATCAAAGAGCCATGCCGATATCAGAGAAGAAACCCCAAGAGGTATATAGCGAAAGAAAGCACAATAGAATGGGAATTAGAAGTGAACCCTGGAAAATAAAAAGGAGAATACGGCAGAAGAATGGCATGAGTGGAGGCGAGTTTGACCGGGTCCAGGAGCTTCACTGCCTAGAGTGACGTCAATTGCGTCCGATCCCGTCGCAATACCAAACTTTCTCTACAGAAAAAGATTGAGATGAAGGCAGAAAGATGGAGAGCTGCGTGGCGTCAGCCGAAACAACGCAGAGGAAGATGGGGGACGGCAGGAGGGGAGAAAAAACGCACCATTTTTGCTGAAGGGAGAAATGAGCAGACGCGAAGGAAGAAAGAGAGGAATTATTACTATCGGTCTCCCTGCAAACCCTACAACAAACCACCAAGACTTCAAAAGCTGAAACTTTGAAACCAATAGCCCCGCAGCCTCTTTCCGCATTTACGGGTCTGGGGAGAGCCAGCCCTAACCCCACGGCCAATGACACTTCGGTCAAATTCTCGCCTTACCGGTGGCCCCTTGCAATTGTATAAATATCATTCCCTAATACTTTATGCCGACTTTGGTCTATTTGTATAATTCAAACGCACAGGCAGAGGGGTCTCCTCTCTCCCAGGCCCTCGTGTGTGGGGACGGGTCCTCTCCTGCATGCAGACAAGACACTAAATGCTTTCGAAGCTCATTATGCTCCCTAAACAGCTTCTACTTGGCCAGAAAAGCATGCAAGGTCATCTACCTGAAAGTGTGCTGTTTTGTGGTATCGTCACGTACACTTCCCATAATTGCCGTCGTTTAGCCAGAGACAGGTTAAGGCTGATTAGCTCTGGATTGCTCATAGTGGGCTGCGTTCCTCTGTTCTGCATTGAAATACAAATACTGCAGCTATCCCTGTGGATACCACAGCATAGATACTTGGGTGCTCGTAGCTTGAAGCATAGTGTAACGCTCCATTGTAGGCTTCCGTAGGGCGACACCTAGCTCCAGACGCGATACAAACTTGTTTGGAAGCTGTTGATTAATTTACTAATATTCTCCCACCCTCTTGTGCCCAGTCATCTAAGGACTCCAGCACCAGGGCAGCGGGATAACTAGGGTGTGCGCAACCGTACCCTCAAGCCCTATTAGCATTCATTGCTAATTGCACACAGCGCATACGCGGAGAACATTGCGTGTATCTGTATTGGACCAGCAGTACCTAGCAACATTAAAGGTAAACGAGCAGCCAAGCACGTAATTTAATGCTCTACCAGTTCTTAGTCCCACATAGCGTTAAAAATCTTCATTTTTGTCAGACCCCTGACGTGCTCCCCTCACATGAAAGCCAGGCTATCCTGTTTTGCACCTGTACATCGAAACCAGCTGCATACAGTCAAGCGAAAGCTTTACCGACCTAGCACCACTCCCAGGCAGACAAATACGCGAAAAAATCGAAAATGAGAAGACAGAAGGCAGATCAACCGGTATAAATTGAAGGAAAGGACACACACTAGCCCACAACGCATGAAAGACAGAATTACCATAAACGCGGAGGCACGAGTGCTTGTTGTCTTCGGATCGCTTGAAGGTGTGAGCTTTCTGTAACACAAAATCAGAAGATCTCAAAAATATGTAAAGGAAGGTAAAATGCACACTAGCGCAGCAGTGACTTCGCGCCTCATAGGGGAACGTTTGCACGCTGATTCAGCTAGCACATGCAGCACAGCCGATTTTCATGCTTCAGCAAAAGCAAATGGCAAAGTCTAAGGACAAGATACCTTACAGTGACTGAGCATAGATCTGAGTGTACAGGACACCTTGCCAGCAGTAACTTCCAACCTTTGGAAGAACTATCTTGGGTTGAGTCAACTATTTCAGGCAGAGCATGCGCTTAGAAATGATAATTAGAAAGGGCCGCGAGAATCTCTGTCCATGGAGAATGGCACTGTGAGCCCAAAAGAAGTGCGAATTCCCTCTAAGGCAGATAGACTGCGACTGCTCCTCCTTCACTCACTGAGGCTGGTATTTCCAACGACGATTCCCTAAAATATCCTTTCTAGTGTGCCCTTGGCACTTGATAGTCTCAGCATCCAGCACTTTGCTGACTTTGCTAAGCAAGTGACTAGCGTGGAGGTGAAGAATTCACAGGGAGCCGAAAACCTTTGGTGAGTTTTTCAAGATCTTAAAAGGCCAGTATTGATGGCGATGTCGCACGCCCACCCTATAGGGCAGCCGAAACAGTAATAAAGGCCAGTAATTTGTGAGAAAATTGCAGATGCTCCTAGCCGGCCTGCGATCAGTTTCTTCTTTGGCTCACCTTCTGGTGGACCTCGTAATATTTGTCGGCTTATTAGGATTAAACATGTATGTTGTAGATCGCAGCAAACAGCCCCTTATCCGAAATCCATGCAATTCTTTCTTGATCTGTGTGCATGCATTGGCATGCACTAGGCAGCTGGTTTCTTGCTACCCCTTCGCCAAGGGTGGCTTCTGATTCTGGGCCACTAGGTTTTGGGCTTACATCCGAGAACAGTTCCTTAATGCAGAGCAAGGATGCGGGAGTGCAACGAATACACTAGTTTGCTGGTGTAAGATAAAAGCTCTAAGCACAGGGAAGATAATTTGACCAAAGAATTGAGCTTTTGTTAGCACAGAGTCGCAAATACTGCGGATGCCTACAGTCATGTACTCCGGTTGCCCATCTGGCTCGGAATGGCTCGTACTGGTCACATTGTAGTCGATTTGTATGCAGAACCTAAACGCACGCCAAAATGCACTAACGAACTTTGGAAACTTGTAGGCTTCGCTGCTTTAGGGAATTCTGTGGGGCATTCATACATGAGTGGGCAATATCATTAACCACGACAAAGCTGAAGCAAGGGAGAAAGTCGAATTATTCGCTAAGTCTACCAATAACGATGTAGATGCTGTTCCGGCCCTTGACTTCTGGCATTCCGACAATACAGTTCATGGCCAGCGGAACTTAAATTCTTTGAAAGTCTAGAAGGCCTTGCAGAAGTACGGATCCAGCAGATATGCACAGTTTCGGCTGCTGACGACGGGAACATAACGATGCATACTCATCTGTCGCACGACACATCCCAGTCCGTCAGAAAGACCGTGAGAGCTCTTCAACACTGGTGTGCATCCAACTATTGCCCGCAAGAACATTGCCAATAGCATTTCGCGAGCGGCAATGCAGCGTGCAGATGGAACGTTCGACAGGTGGAATCCTCGCTATGCTCTGAACATCAGCAGGCCAACCTTTAGCCGCTAATGCCTCAGCCTTTCGTCATTATGAATATGGCGATAGTTGCGGATGTGTGTGTGCCAAATACACACGCCTCACAAAATTCTGAGATAATCCGTGAACCATCTTAAACAAGAGCGGTCGCCCCGCACAATCGTGAATCGCTGAGGCATCGAAAGAGCACATTTGCGCCCTTGTTGTAGGTGCCCCTCATCTATTTCACCGTGGAGTCGTGCAGTAGGAGGCATTCAAACCAGCTAAGAGGGCTAGAATTATCAGTGTCCCGAATACTTCTCACAAGGGATGCCGCATGTGGTCTTCTCCTTGTAGGGAATACCGCTGCTCGGCTTCTTTGAAGCAATGAGAATAATACGCAATGATTTTATGCACTGGACAGTTTGTAGCTATTGGGAGAGAGAGCACCTGTAGCTTTTGTTGCTAGGAAGATATGGTACTAGTAGAAAGGCTTTAAAAGTACCGAAGGAGTTGTATGGCAGCCCACGAGCTTTCCTGCTGCCGCATGAGCCTTCTCTGACGGAATCCCACGCTGCATTCTATTAGGTAGTTTAGTCAAGAAAGCATCAACCCGAGCAAAACGAGGAAGCAAATATGGGTAATAAGATGCAAGCCCGCATAAAACCTCGCGCTTTTCCTACCTGTACCTGGCGATAGAGGCCATTGATTGCTTCAAATTTTGCCGGATCTGGCTCATTTTATAGAGCCAAGCGCGAAATGACAGGAAGTTGATTGCCCTCTTGAAAACGAGCACCTGCATGCCTTCGCACAATACTGCTCGCCCCGCGGCCGCTCAAGCGCATGCCATAGATTTTGGTGCTGGTTTTAGATATTTCGGGTGAGAGAGTCATACGATTCTCGTTGATAAGGCCATTAAAGCGTCTGAGTCCATTGCCTTTGCATTTTGGCTGGGCACTCGACAAGTGTAACAGCATGCAAATATGCGTAAGCTTACCAGTGCGAGTATATAACGCCGTTTGTGTGCCTGTCACCAGGGTGAACGGCGTTTTGTAAAGAAGTGTATGTGGAATCCAATGCGGACCGGAGTGTCTCTCCGTGTAACCTGTCAAAAACTCCACCAGTATTAGGCACGAGCAGCTATTGCTTGGCATTGATCTTGTACCAGTGCTTAAACTTAAAGCACATGCAACACTTTCCTTTCTTTTTGGCACCAACAGTGCGTTATGCTCAAATGTGCTGACCTATTCCTGCATTGTGCCCCTTTGCGGCAATAAATCCGGCTGCCACTTAAGCTGCTCTTCATGCTGCGGAGGCTTTCGATTCCTCGCATCAGCCTAGAGTTGACCCAGGGATTAGTTCATTACGGGTTGATCGGCAACTGACAAGTGATAAACCTGCTGGCAGTTTTTCACTATTTAGTACATCTGTGAATTTCCCTTGATATTTCCCATTCCACCTGTTCGTCGGCTGAAATTTCAGCAGAATCAATGAAAAACTTATTGCAGAGCCCATAAGACCGGATACATGCTCAGAACCCTCTTTTCTTACTGCACTACCGGCGGCAGAATGACTCTCCCCTACCTTGCTGACGCACTGACTCCACTCAGCTCACCACAGATTAGCTGAGCATTGCTGAGACCAAACTCTGCTTCTTCTTAGCGCTTCCCAGCACGCTAACTTTGAGAGGGCGCAGCTGAGGCCTATGCGCCCCTTCTCGAAAGTCCCTAAATGCATACTGAGGATTGCACAATGGCGCACTGGTCCAGTATACAAGTAACGGACCAGTCTGATAAGGCCCAAATTCCAACTTGAAATAGTTTTGAACCACCGTGAATTTTGTCACTGATCAGCAACCCTGGATTTCACGGACGGCGCTGCCGGGTACACAGGCAGATTGTCTTTTTACATCATGCCCGCGAATTGCGGATCCACTTGTCACTCAGTTTTAAGCAAAGTTGGCAATTCTCAACCTTTAGTGTGAGCTAACGTGGGCGCAGGATTCACCCCGTTTTTTGGCCTCCATATTTGGCCATATACCCTACGCTCCCATTTATTGTTCCACAACTCGCGGGTGGGTTTACCCTTTCTTTGAGCCCTCTTTACCTGCCCAGCAACCAATTTCGCCAGACCCAAATCCCGTTGCTCAAGTTCTTTGACCTTTTGTATGCGCATGAATTCCAGTATTGTGTGACCCCGCTTTCTTACAGTAGAAGCGAGGCCTAAAGTTCCTTCGGCACGTTCTCCTGAAACACTCCATGCAAGGTCTTGGGAGGGAGGCACTTCACTAAAGACTAAACATAAACATGATATAAAGCTATTAAGTGTCTTTCCGAATGATTTCCCGCCCATCCTTACCCTTAGTTTTCGCGATCTCGGTACGAGGGGAGTCTAACCGCTAGAGTGCGCACAGCTGTACCTTTTTTAGAACTCTGAACACTCACAACTAGCTGCGCAGCGTCTAGCACTAGCGCACCCAACAGTGCATCGTGATGTAGCGAGCTGACACTACTCTGCGAAAATCAAGACGAACAGGCAAACCAAGTAGTGGATTCCTTGCTCACTCTCAATTTAATATAACGAGCCTGGCAGGAAGCGCTTACGTGTTGCTTTGCCCGTTGCAGGCAGCGAGGAACGCCAAGCTGCGCATAGGGAGTAAGCTGCTATGCACAAACAGCTAGACCGCGCTCCATTAGCACAAAAGCTAAGCAGTAATACACATTAGCTACGTGGAAGAACTGGACAGAAGCAGGAAAAGATTTCATATTGTCTAAGTGCCCCAGCTATTGAGCACAGATACCAGACGCAGAGTCACAACTTTGCATCTCTCACTCTCCCAAATTAGCTCTTGTAATTAGATTTAAATGGTCGTTAAGTACATGATTAAGACTTGTGGAGCTGGCTCATGGACACTAGCTGAGGGGACTGATGTGCCTAGAGTGCCTTGCTCTTCAGATCTGGGTAGTTCTGCCCCAGGGAGATGTCAGGTTTCCAGAAGCAACGGAGATAGTATACCACCTACTCCCAGAGCCCAAGCTCCAGATTATGACTTGTAACTCGCTAGGCATAAGAAGGGAATCCTTGAGAGGGTTTTACTATCTTGTAGATCAGGACAGATCCTGTGAGATGTGAACCCAGCTCAGAGCATGGACTTTGATCAGCTGGCTCCAAACCACGACCGTGAGAGCTCTACAGCTCGAAGGGCTTATACTGAATATGGTTGCGCCGCTTAGAAAAGAACTGGCTCGCTACAAGAATCAGCCGGAGGCCTGAAGGAGACAGGGCCCCCCCAGGGCATCCATGGCAGCGCCCTCCATAGGTACCCCTCGGCAAGTTTAACCCCTCAATTCCGGTTGATTTATAGTTTTGATACTTTTTTTCAAAGTTTTGGCTTTCTCTTAAGCCTCTGTTCCTTCTCCGAAGATGCTCTTCTAATAGCAAGGTCAACATTGGATCACCTTCCCCCTGCGGTTCTTCTTTCACGTCCCAGAGCAAACCTCTTTTCACCATTAGGGGCTTTGTATGGCCGTAAGGAATAAGATCTAGCTAGGGCTTCTGATTCCAACTGCCGACAGCGTATCTCCTTTGTGGGAGGCGGATGTCCCTCCTTTCTCCCCCGGCCGAGCTCGTGGCTGCTTCCGCTCTGACCCTCCTTTTCCCGCTTTCTTTTATTGATCCTCCTCGCAGAGAATCGCAGCCTTCGCTCCCTTGTATTGCGGAGTCCTCGGGCACAAAGCGAGTCAGGGCGTTCAAGTCTTCCGCCGACGGCCAGTTCTCTTTGTCCTTCAGCCTGAGCTCGGCGACCAAAGCGGTATTGGCTCGAAAGATCCTTGTAACAAGCTATCCACAAGCTTCAGAACCTATGGTTTAAGCTGCTTTGTAGAGGCTTGGACTGCGGCTTTGGTATGGAGCAACAATTCTACCCCCTAAAGAATGGGCATCTGAGGAGAGTCTTCCCTCGCTCATTTCGTCCCTTGCGGTTGCCCGCTCATTGACACCATCAGAAGTCGCCATGATGCTGGTAGCTCAGAAGGAGACAGATGCAGAGGACCGGGATAGAGGACTCATAGAGCCTTGGCCTCCACCGGCTACGACGGTGCCAAAGGCTCCAGTGGTGGCCTCTCCTGCTATATCGGTGGAATGGCAGGATAACAGCGTTGGGTTGAATGCGCAATCTCCTCCACGTATACTAGAAGGGGGGCTTCCAATTGAACCTCCCCTCTACTTCACTGAATCGCTGGGAGAGCTTCAGACACACGTGAAGGGAAGACAGGGCGCTCGGCCAAGCAGCAACAGCTGCTGGATGCTGTTGCTGCTTACGCTTAACACCCTTACAGTATGTTGGGTGTTTTGGCAACTGAAGCAACGAATGGAACAAATGCTTCATTCGCAGGAGGCAGCCCTGGGAGACCTCGCGGATGTTGTCAAGAACCGAGCTCTCCAACTCCATGATTTGAGGGCGCCTTTGGGTTCACTCTCTCCCCCAGAATCTTTCCATGACGAGGTGTTTTATGAATGGGGTGCGGTAGACATGGAAAAAGAGGGTTCTCCGCCGGCAGTAGACCCCTTCAAACAAGAATTCGCAGTGGCGGAGGGTTCACCGCCACTCAAGCAACCTGGGTCGCTGCATCGAGGTCCTGGAACAGGAACATTTATCCAGCGATCGAGGACGTATGGCCATTCCGCTGAATTTTTGCTCAGTCCCACAAAGACCTCTGGAAGGCCTCATCTAGGCTCGCAGCGTGTAGGCTTGGACGAGTTATCAGACGTAGGGCCCCAGCCGCAAAGCAGCCCGAGTGCGGATAGCCAATTGACGGAATGAAGGAATAGAGGGTGGAACTAGGGGAATAAAAGGGGAGGAGGGATCTACTGCTTAGTATTTCGACTGCATGCTCTCAATTTGGAGTGCTAAACAGGAAGAAGTCGGGGCACCCCCCGGATCTGCGAAGGTGGTCACTCGATGCTACTACATTCGGGGCAGGCGATACGCCTGTGAAGTCTTTGCTAAGTGCTGGCTTTAGTTGCGGACTTTGAGCTGCAGAGATGAATAGCGAACTGAGCCAATAAGCAGCAGCAGGCCTTTTGGAGTAGATACTGCGCTAAAACACAAGCAACCACGCCGAAACGGTGGGTGTGCTGCATGTGCATTTCATCACTGTCCTTCTGTCGCTTCCTGAGCGAAAAACCAGACATCTAAGCCCTGTTGTATCCATACGATGGGCTTTTGCTGTAAACAAATGCAAGCAACCGACGTGCATGCCTGTACCTTTTTAGAAACGGTAGAGCACCCAGGCAGGATTGTCGGGTAGTAAAAAACATAGATGGCGACGATGCAGAGAAGGTTGTTTTAACAAGGGCCCAAGACTTACAGAGCAAACAAACGTAGAGTATTGCAAGGAATCGCACTAGGGAAGCCACGGAATATTCCTTTTTTGAGTGTATACAAAACGCGCCAGTCCCTGTTGATGATCTATGCACATATTGGCTATTACCAGCCCCCAAAACTGCAACTATCAGTAAGGCGATTTGGAAGGTTGTGAGTAGGGGAGATCAAACAATGAATTGGCCGATGGTCGATCACCGAGGGAGACACCACGGTTTCGTCTCTCCCTCCCCCACTGCAGCCCGGGAGTGGTTTTTGCGCAGACTGTTGCATCTCTCTCCCCTTTCGCTCCCTCTGCATGACTAACATTGAATTTCACCCTAGTGAATTATTAAGCGCACATAATTTTTGCTTCATTGGCTCTTTCATTCCTCGGATGTACGAAAACAGAAACGATGACGACAGACGTCGCCAATCCGCCGCTGCAGCGGTCACCTACGGCAGAAGATGGCCAAGTTAGTTTATCTCCATAACGTGACCCGTAATTCATAAGAACTAAAGGGAAGGAAAAGGTGAAGAGTGAATGCCTGCACTCAGTCTACAGATTGCCCCCCCTCCCCCGAGATCCCCAGCAATCTCAGTCCATGTCATCAGCGTGAAGCTTCTGCTACGTCCCCCCAGAGAATCTGTGTCATGACCCTTCCTGCTCCGTAGCTAGAAGGATTTTTCCGGCTTTTTGAGCTGCACTTCCCTTTCTTATCGCTAGCTGCTTTCTGCAAGGAATGTACCTACTGCAATTCGCTCGCTTGTAAACTTCCCGTGTCTGCTTACTTAATGAACGACATTCTAGACTACCCTGCTTCACCCACTTGCTAGGCAGTCTGTCGAGCGTACATTCTTAGAACACTGATGGCTTTGAGCCCAGCAAGTAATCGAGCACGGAACCGAGCCATCAGCAGCCACCCCTGCAGATGTCTAGTCCAAAGGGAAAATTGCACACGCACAAAAGCAAAGGAACAGGCATTACGCGTGCGGCAGAGCTTATGTTACTGCCTCTCCCAACTGATCATTTCGCTGCTGCTTTCCCCATTTGAGGGGGTGCTAGACGCTAACAGGCACAAAAGCCTTTGCAGCCACTATAGCAACGGGCAGGAGGCGGTAATCGACCATATACACGCATTAGACAAGGATTAAAGCACAGCCTGAATCATGGAACACTCACAGAAATCCTAGCATAAACTTTGTAGACGGATGCTCGCTCCATAGGCGCTTTGAAACCGGACCTTGTACAAAAGGGCTCCTCCTGCGTCCAACCGCTAGTGCGGGCTATAAAGGCACTTGCAAGAGGACGAACGGGGGCCCTTTCCGCTTTAAAGACATATTTTAGAATGCCTCCGGCGCCTAATGAGGTAAAAGGATAATGCACAGCATCACGACGTTATTGGTGCTGTTTGTAATATTGACGACAACTTGTTTATCTTTTCGCCTCTGCAGTTCCCTTCTCCGGAGCAGAGTGCTGCATTCCTTAAGGACGGCCTAAGCCAGCTGCAGAAGATTCCTTCTGATGGCCGTCTGTGTTGCGTGTCTCTCTCGTTGTCTAGCCGTGGTCTCTCCCAGCTGCTGTTAGTGTGCGACTTTAGCAAGTTACTCTGCCTCGACGTCTCGAACAACAAGCTGGAGTGTCTTTATCCTGTGAGGCTTGCCGCAAACCTTGTGCACCTCAACGCCAGAAATAACCTACTCAAGAGTGCAGCAGAACTCTCCGCCAACACAAAACTCCAGACTGCAGACCTCCGGAATAATCACATCGAAGAATTAGGTGAAGACGGTAGCTCAGGGGTGTGGCACGTGGTCTAGGGTCCTAAAGGCCTACTGCGCACCCGCCGGGAAACGTGACGGTTAAGAGGTGGAAGTAGAGACAGGGCATAGGCTTGGGTAGTGTGCTCACGGTTTATTGATGCAATTTTGTTACATCAGATATTTTCGGGATGGCATTTCGCCTTTGGGAATTGTGATTGCTGTTGCAAGGTGACTGGCAGTTCAACGGCCGTCTGCGGGTTTTGCTGCTTGGAGGCAACCGGCTGGCATCACTGGCTACCGGCAATTTGAGCAGCAACAGTTTGTTGCGGGAGCTGGACATAGGAGGCAACAACATATCCTCGCTCGAGCCCCTACCTTACTTGAAGTGTCTAGACACCTTAAATGCCAGCAACAACCTACTCACAAATCTCCAAGGCATCCAAGGAGCGCCCAATGTAGTAGTGCTGCACGCCGAGGTTTGTCAACAAGTCTAAAGGTGTCCACTCAAGGGCTTGAGTTTCTATTGCACCTGACTGTCACGCTGAGGATGTGCGTGTCTTAAACCTTAGGGGAATAAGCTGGAGTCTCTGGATCCCCTGGGCCTGAGGCGAACTCCTTTTCTGCGCGAGCTGCATGTGCAACTGAATCCGGAGCTCAAAGTGCCACAGCAACTTGCAGGGCTGAGAACCGCTGAGGCCCTGCAGCGCCTCCAGCTGTCTCCAGGACCGATTACCTGCTTCCCCCACTGGCGGCTGCACTGCGTCCACATGCTGCCCCAGCTGCTGCAGCTCGACCATGCGCCCATTACAGTGGAAGAACAGGTATGTATCTGCCATGCACAGGGTTTCACTGACGCACGGCCTTGCACCCCAGAAAGAGCAAACAAGCGCAGGTGCTCTGCCACTGTTCCTGCATGCGTCTGTAGCTGGCCGCGGCAGAGGCTTTTGGCGACTTGCTTTATGCCCGGCGGAGGGTTTGGGAGTCTTTAATTCCCGAGGAGCCCTTTGTCGATCGTCGCCTTGTAAAACTGGTGGGAGCAGGGGAGGCAATATCTCCAGCAACAAAGCACTAGTAGACGAGGCAGAAAGCAGACTACGGGCAATGTGTTTACAGTGTCCGCACATGGGCGCTACATCGAGGTCGTTACGTTCAAAGTGACAGCATAGGCGCTAAAAAACTAGTGGGACGTCGCAGCAGCATTCCCAGCGGCCCCCGTCGAAACAACAAGAGGCGCATCGAAAAAGGAGGCCTACTCGTGGCATGTGGCGCGACCGGTCTTGCATAGAGTGACTCGACTGTTCCCGTAGACCTACCTTTAGACGCTAACAAAGCGAGCAGGTGCTCCACAAGGGTGCATCGTGCAGTGTCTGGTTGAAAATGTGTGGCTGGGTCGCCTCGCCCGTTAAAAACCACGCCTAGGAGTACCGCCACAGGAACTCAAAACGTAGGCAACAACCAAAGTATTTCCGCTAAAAGCTGTCTTGTAGGAGATCCCAGGGGACCTCTTTTCCCTTTTGTTGACCCCTCTGATAATTCGATCTATGGAGCTACTTGCATGTTCTCCTGACGAGCCTTTCGCCTTCTTGAGCTCTATGCCGCCATCCTAGAACGGTTTTTCTCCCATACAGTCAAGAGCTTCCACACTGAATGCCGCCCGACAATGCGTGCTCACCCTGCGGCGCTTGGTTGCGATACCCTTGAAAAAACCCTAGTATTCCCTTAGCAAGAGGTGTGGTGCGGACCGGCCTGGCCTGCCTCAGGCGTAGTTGCTGCTGTACTCTCCACTGCTGCTGCTGTTGCCGCTGCCGCCGCTGCTGCTGTCGCTGCTGCTGCTTCGGGAGAGAGACCAGAAAGCGCGTAGCAATACGCAGAGTAACATGCCATGTAGGTGGCTGCGTCATCCGCGGCACTAGCTGCTGCCATCTGCTGCAACAACACCTGCAGCTGCGCAGCCGTCTCGGGAGACACCTGACTCTGCCCTGTAGCAAAGTAAGCGGCACTTGTAGCATCCGGTGCTGCTGTGCCTGCTGCTGGTGGTGCTGCTAAGGCAGCATCGGCTGTTTCTGCTCTCGCAGTAGTGTCTTGTGTTGGCGCTGTTTCGTTCGCTGCTGCGGCTGCATCCTCCGAAGCGCTGTTCTTCTTGTCTGCAGCGGCCGCAGCAGCAGCTGCTGCTTCTACTGTTTCAAGGTACCCCATGCCCGGTGTTTCTGGCGTCTTCTCAGAGAGCCGCCTGCATTCTAGCAGCAGTTGCTGCTTCCGCTGCTGGAGGTGGTGATTGAGCTGCAGACGCGCGAGGAAGCTGCGAGCCTGCAGCAGCAACGCGTATGACACTTGGCAGGCTCATGGCGCACCCATACGGAGGCCAAAGACTAAACTAGAAGGCCTCATTTGTCAAAAAAAAACGCCGCCTATATACAGTGTTTAAAGAATGGAAGTTTTAAGAGTGGCGTACGAAGTTGTGCGTTGGTCCTGGGAGAGGCTGCGGCTTTACAAAGCCTTCTTTCTGGATTTCGGCCTCAACACACTTCAGCACATACCTGAGTACCCCGTTCGCCGCATACCCACCAGCCGCCTCTCTCCCCTTCGGGTGTGCGTCATCGCGCCACTGTTAGTGGTAAGGGAGGGTGATGAGGGTGAAACTGGAGGCTCGCTCTGTTGGCACAATGTGCCTACTGCGAAACGTGTGTCTCACCGGAAGTATCGAAGGTCCATGGAGGAGGGCCTAAGGAACGGAAACGTGGAGGCGTCATCTTCGTACTGCAGCAGCACAGCCGCAGGAAACCCCAAAGCCTCCATTCTCAACCCGCCCACTAGATCTTGAGCCTTGCTAAAGCGCGTCTTAGCCAGCTTTCTAAACTTGCCGTTGTAGCGTGCTTCACGAGCGAAACGTCACCAACGGAGAGAAGAGCGTGCCCAAGTTGCTGTACGGACACCGCCGATGCCTGCGCACAAGGAGCCGGCGGACGCCTCCCAAAACGCGAGACATTCGGTAGGACCCCTGCAGGGTGGCTCATCATCGTCAGCGTGCAAAAGCTCAACAGAAGAAAAGATTTCAACAAGGGCAGTCCCCTTCCACGAAGCTCTCCTGGCCCTTCCCCCTTAGGAGTTGCAGAAGCAAGAAAGAAGCGTGTCTGGCACACACCCCGCGCGCGGGAGAAAATGCATCTTCCCCGCATTCGAACGCACCTTAGAGAGGCCAAGCTTCGCATTTGGAAGAGCCCAGGGAGGTTTCTGAGGGAGAGCTTCCATCATTGCATCGATATCTTCTGCATCCATCTGAACATCTCGCTCTGTGGACGGGCCTGCTCCCCGCTTTGGTTTCTTGAGAGAAAAGCGTGTCAGCCGCAGAGACCGCCAAATGGCAGTTAAGTCTTTCGGATTGCTGCTGCTGCTGTTGCTCGTGCCTTCTTCTTCTCCCGAGTCGTCACCCTCATCCTCCCCCGCGTGTCCTCCTTCCTCGTCTGGCCGAGCTGGGGATGGAGCTGCATCTGAGGCTTCCTTAGCTGCTGGCGGAGGCGGCAGCAGTGCAGAAAGAAGGAGATCCGCTTCTGCAGTGGCAGTAGCAGACGTAAGACACTGCCCTGCCTTTGCATCCGCTGGATGCCGCGATGGCGGAGGAGAAGGAGGAGGCCGTTTCTTTGGCGGTACTGGAAATACAAGCTGCTCGTTCCCTCCTCCTTTTTGCGACACCGACTGCTTCTCCTCCTGCTGCTGCTGCTGCGGCTGCTGCGAAATCGCTTCTCTTGGCTGCTTACTCTCCGGTTGCGACTCTTGCTCCTGCTGTAGATCGACTGCGTCCTCCTCTTCCTCATCACTGCCGTACGATAGCAGCAGCCCAAGCCCTCCATCAAGCTGACTTTTCTCTTGCTGATTTTTCTCTTGCTGATTTTTCTCTTGCTGCTGTTGCTGCGTTTGCTGTTGCTCCGTTCCTCTCACTTCCTGTGCTGCTGACTGCCCTTCTCCTGCCTCTTTCTGCTGCTCCTGCTGGCGGCTACTCGCGGGTTTAAGAGAGTACGCAAACTGCAGCAGCGCTCGGATGCGCGGGGGCAGCAGTTCGGCGCTTCGTGCAACAAGCGAGTGACCCTGCTGCTTCATCCAGACGTAGAAAGGATGCAGGCGATGGCCAACTGCGAGAAAAGGCAGCCGGCGCTCTTTGTCTAGCAGCAAGCGGAATTCCATACGTTCGCCCTCCTAAGCCAACACGGAGACCCCACACCGCGAGAGAAGGAGGGACGGGTAGCAGCCAAAAAGATGATACATAGAGCACCGCAGGGAACGCAGCAAAGAGCCTCGCAGCAGCGCCGACTTCCCTTTAGCAGTTGCGCAAAAAAACGCAAAAGAGGGCCACACGTGCTGCTTGGAAAGGCACACAGAAGACCACCCTGCTGCTGCTGCGGAAAACCACAGGCCCGCTGCGAGACACACTCCAGCAAGCCTGCCTCAGCGAAGACTTACCTCGCGCACAAAGTGCGCCGTCCGTTCAACGACTAAGTACTCCCTGAGGTTTTCAGGGAGGCGCAGCTCTGCGGGCAAGTCTGGAAAGGGAGGCACGAAGCACTCGTCCTCCTGCTGGTGCCGCTGCTGCGGTTGCTGCTGGGAATTTTGCTGCTGTTGTTGCTGCTGGTGCTGTTGTTGCTGCTGCTCGTCGTCTGTTTCGCGGTGCTCTGCAATGGCAGCAGACACACTGCCGCCTCTGCCAGGGGGGGTGGCCTCCTCCAGTCTTGATTCGTCTGTGGTTGCTGCCTCCGCTGTCGAGGCTTCTTCGAAGGGCTCTAGGGGGGAGGAAGCGGCAGCAGTCGCCATGCCTGCTGCTGCTGCTGGTGCTGTTGTTGCTGCTGCTGCATTGCGCAGGCGCAGCGCAGCGGCAGCATTTTGAATACAGCACAGCGTACATCCCTCGCGGCCAGCGCCACAGTGAAGAGACGGGAAAAAGCAGCAGCAAGGCCCCCCAGAGCTGCGAAAAGGGCAGCCAAGCGACCTTCACCCCAGCAGACGCAATCAACAAGGAAGCCTCAACAAGAGTGACTGGCGTTTCGAAGACAGACGCAAAATCAGCTCACCTGGCGCGTTGTCAGACTGATCCAGCGCCTCTGGTGGAGGAACCGCAGTATAATCCGGCCCTTCCCTAAGCATCAAACGTGCAAGAAAACTCTGATTCCTCAAACGCCACCACAATCCTCAAATGTGAAGGCGTAGGAAACGCATACCGAATTGCTGCACACACGTCTCACGGCCTCTTACCGCTCTGGAGCCGCGTCTCGGTTTGCCGCAGCCGCAGCTACGGCTGCGTTGCCAGCTCGCTGCTTCTTTTTTTGCTGGTGATGGTGTTGCTGCTGCTGCTGCTCCAAAGTCGGCGTCCACTGTTGCTGCTCCTGCTGCTGCTGCACAGAGGGCAAATCGTCTGAGAAGGCCGCGCGGCGTGGAAGGTCCTGTAGGCGTGCACACGGATGCAGTAGCAGTGGAACTGCTATCGGGGAAGGGGGAACGTGTGTGCTTGGCATCGATTCGGGAGTCATAACCTCCGGCAAAAAAGACAGCCCTAGACGCTGAAAGAATTAGTCTAACGACTGCCGATGCTCCTTCTGCCGCATCGAGATGCCTTTGAGCGAGAGAGAGAGAAAGAGAGCTCAGAGTCTGCCTCCGAGGCGGCCGTTTATGGAACGAGTATCCTTACCTCATAGCGCATCTCTTCTATCTCGCGAGTCTCCTGCAGTGCAGTAAGGCGCCGCTCTTCACTGCAGTTTTGATGGATGAAGGGGCCGATATTCCCCAATAAGAGCCGCACGTCGTATCTGCACGTGCAGCATGCAGCGAAGACGAGAAAGCGCCGCGTTGCAGCAGGTCGCAGCATTAGGGAGCAGCAAAATACCGCAATTCGCAGGTATGCTGAGCATCAGCGGGAGCCGCGGGAGGCCTCACGCAGCCTCGAAGGAGCTTCGCGTGAGCGGCCTCGAGAATCGGAGAGCTTGATTTCCCGAGAAGGTGTGTGTGTTGCAGCGTCAGAGGGTGCAGCTGCTCTACAGAGCCGATGGTTCACGGAAAATATATAGCAGGGAGGCTGTGTGTGTCTGTATCCGCTTACCGGTCCACTAGGACCTCTTCGCCTTCCACATCGATCTTGATTAGGCGGCTGTCTGTCGCAGCGGCGACATCGCGTGCAATGCCAAAGCGGCAAGCGTTTCCAACGATGCACAGTCCGCCGCTGCTGGTTCCGGCGCTGCTGCTGCTGCTGCTGCTGGATGCAGCTGCAGTGCTGCTGCTGCCGATGTTCGTTGCTGAGGCCGCGCTGGTTCGATTGCGCGAGCCTCCCCACGCTGCAGAGGCCATTGCTGCTCTCTTCCAGAGCTTGGCTTGAGGGGGAGGGAGAGAACCCCCATGCAGCAACAAGGCCTTACCGCACGGGGGTTTGTCTCGTAGTGGAGGAGTCTTGCCCCCGCGCACCGACGTGGAGAGGGAGAGGGAGGCCTTTCCTGAGGCAGCAGTTCGAGATTTCGAGGGAGGGAGGCCTTTCCTGAGGCAGCAGTTCGAGATTTCGAGAGTCGGAGAGTGCGTGATTGCGAGACTTCTTGAGCTGGGGTAGATTTGTTGGGCCATGCGTACCGGGGGAGCAGAATCGGTGCCCGAGCTGAGGCTGCAGACTCTTCCGCTTCTTGAAATACGAGACACACATACCCACGCACAATAAATTACGGAAAACGGCGGCAGGATAGTGAAGGAGGGAAAGAGGTGGGTGAGGGGGGAGGGAGGGCAGGGGGGCCCCTAGGGGGGGCCCCCATACTACGCGAAGTCGTATGGGCTGCCCCCCAAATCCCGGCCAGAGGGGCTTGCTACTGATTGCTGTGACGCTTCCCCAAAATAAAAAGTGCGATCCGGCTGTCGCTATTGGTACTGGTGCAGCCTTCTGGATGAGGCTGCTGCTGCTGCAGATGCAAGGCTCCCTGGCTCTGTTCGGTGAAGGGACGCACTCTGCGCGCTGCTGCAGCCACGGCGCTGCCACTGCGGATCGCGTTCCTTATAAGCTGCTGCCGTCGCATACTACGGAGGAGCCTCCGCGTTAGTGGCTGCGGGAGCAACGGCCTCGGCAGCGGCTAAGCTGCCGCCTTGCCGTCCCCCGCAGCAAACCCTCGTGTCTGCTAACGCCTTCCCTTTGCGTGGCTGTGGCACTTTCGCGCGGCTTTTCTTCCCCGCTAAGCACCAAACGCTGAGCTTCAAAGATGTTTTTCGTCATCGAACGGTGGGAGTCCGTTGCCTTGCGGCCTGCGCAACTAGGACCCCAGTATCTCGCCAGCGTGGAGGCACTCTTACGTCAGCAGGTCGAGGGCAAGTGCCTTCAGAGCGTTGGGTACGCTGAGGAATCATCGTAGCTTTAGGGGGCCCCGCGATGTGCCCCTCTGTGTAGAAAACTGGCCCGCAGCGGGTTTCCCCAGGGGGCCCTCAAAAGCGTCGCGGTCTGCATCCTCTGCCTCCTTCCGTTGCTACATTGCCGCGTGATCGCGCCTTCTTTCTCTCGCGAGGCGAGCACTTCCGTAAGCTGCAAAGCGGAGCCTGTTCTGAGATTTGTTTCCTTAGCTGTGTTTGTCGGGTGGCTCAGATACGTGGTCTGCGTCATCCGGGTGCTCCAAAATTTACCTGGCAGAATCCAAGACTCCACTGGCCTCGTAGTCGTAGCTGCGAAGTATCAGGCCATTGTTTTCAAGCCTTTCAAGGAAGAGGTCAGGTGGTCATGAGGCGACACACGTCATAAGGCGATAGGGGCTGACCTCTCGCAGCCGTTCGCCTCCGGAAACAGCGCTCTGCTCTCACCTGGCCCCCCCCCCGAAACTATCGAAACATGCAAACAAAGACTGTTTCCATGTGTCTAAGTGCGTTGCTGATGTATCAAAACCTCCGAAAAAACACAAACGGGCGACGACGGCTCTACGTGTGCGCTACCTGCAGGTCCTGGATGCGGTCATTACCGACGTCAACAAATTAGGCCTGTTCGCGCAGTGTGGCCCTCTAAAGGTGTTTGTCTCGAGGGCTTCTCTGCCTGCGTCTTACACGTTCCAGGTACATGAGCTAAACTCTGAGAGCCTTAGAACACTAGATCCGAGTTCGAGCGATGTGTAGAACTTCGCTGTGTGCCGTGCGGAGCCAGTCGGCTGCTGCCCCTTTGCTTTCCTGCACTTCTCGGGGAGTCGTGCCTGCTTGGCTGCTAGATGAGCATATGCACGGCAGCAAGCAAAGTGGCAAGCAGAAGGCTGGGCCCCAGCAACTACTACGGACCCGTGCTTCGAAATGCATATGAATTTCTAGATGCATGTATTCACGTGCGCCTTGCTCGCTGTGCAACGCTGATGCAATGCTGCAGGAGGATGACGCCATGCCAAGTTTCTCAGATGGTTCTCTTGCCCTCCGAACGGGGGGAGAGATTCGCTTGAAGCTTCTGGGTGTTCGATTCGAGGCCTCGCAGATTTTCGCGGTTGCTACGACGAACGCAGATTACTTGGGTCCCTTAGAGCCCCGAGACGCGGTTGCCCCTTAGCCTTAGCTTGGAGGAGGCCTTAAGCCGTATGGACACCTCACAATCCAACACGAACGCTTGCCCCTCTCTAGATGGGAGAGCACCGTCGCCGACGGGGTGCGGCCTTGAGGATTTATCTTTTGCACCCCAAGGGACGTTCGAGGGGTTTCGCCCTGGTTGATCTGCCTCCTGTAGCGCTCAGTGTTTTCGCTGTGCTCTGGTTTGGCGGTCACTAAGATTTCTGTCTGCAGAGCGTAGACAGGGGTATTCGCTGTACGGTGGGGTTGTGTATACTGGACAAATCTCCAGACTTACAGTTGGCGCCCGCAGCAAGCCTCGTTTGAGGACCGGCGGCCCTTCACAATCTAGCCTTCTACCAGCTAGCTAATCCCTACCCTCATATTCATGATACCAGCTAAAGTTTGCCGGCAGCGGTGCCGGCTGCGCTAATAGAGTCTGCGGTACAGGAGCTGCAGCAGCGCAGCGAAGAAACTTTGCAGCCCGCGGTGCTCGAGGCCCTCAACGCGCCTGAACGCACGGACACCCAAAGTTGGGAAATGGCCTCACTTCGACATAGAGTGGCGTGCACTCGAAGCAGAAACCATCACACAAAAGAGATAGCAGCAGGGAAAAGTGAAGAGGGGCTGCTGCTGTGCAGAGGTCCATATTCTGTGGGTGCCCGTAAACCCAGTGCGCTTCCAGAGAGGCCTGTGCGAAGGCTGGACCTGAGGATATACTCTCTTGATTTGTGTTCATACTCCTTGAACCGCGTATGCACTCCCAAGTGCATGTACAGCTCGCGAACGCGATCTTCTCCCTCTGCTTGGCCGTAGACTTCGAGCAGGGCCGCCGCCTCTTTGGGAGTTGCAGCGGCAATGGCCTGCAGCGAAACAGAGGCTAGCAATCCTCCCCGCTCTAGTCTTCCTCTATGCCAGTGAAAAAGGCGCCAACATGACCCTTGGTATGGAATTTGCCTGTATATACATGGAGAACTATCGAGAGAGATACCACACACAGCACGACCTCCATGCCAGGAGACGCTTTCAGGAGATGGTAGAAAGCGGCCAAGACGAGCACGTAGAGGGCGCAGCAGAAGCAGAGACGCACAGATCGTGCTCTGCATGCTTGGCACAAGGCATATAGAAATGTCTGCACAAAAGCCGATTACAATTGCATGCATCTCCGAGCTAGGGGCTTGCACAGATCTGCAAGCTGCTACTACCTTTTAACGTCACACCGAAAGGTTCACTGGCAGGCGTCGCTGCTCGTTCTGCGCCGTACCTGAGCGAAAGGCCAGCTGCACTTGCCTTCACGAATGTCGCTGCCGGCTTTACCAAGAGTCTTAGGAGAGCCGAAACAGTCGAGGAAATCGTCCTGTGCCTGGCCATACGAGAACAACACCCCTTCGACAAACAATTCAAAAAGCGGAGCTGCAGCTGGAGCTGCCGCGAGCGTGAGAAAGCAAACATGCATAAAACAAGTATGGGCAGCGGAGGATGGAAGTAACGCTGGAGAGCGGCGCAAACGAACAAAGGGAGGCACACAGGAGGGAAAGAAGCATGAGAGAGACTATCCAGCCCTCTCCTTGTCAGGCGGGTGTTCAGCTTACTTGAAAGTAATCACCAATGCAGAGGCAGACTTCTTCCGTCTTACTAAGCAGCGAGGCGTCCGTAACACCGCTGTGTAGCAGCCCTGAGAAAAAAAGAGGCGTTCGTCGAGCGTTGATGCGGGAAGCGACATGGTGGCGCTGGTAACACCACCAGCCAAAACGCAGAAGAACAAGAGCCTCGACCCAAGAAACTGTGATTGGAGGCCTGAAAAGGCCAGCATGCAGCAGCAAGAAAACTAAGAAGAACACCTCTTTACCTAGGGCCGTGGGAAGCCAGAAGGAATAGTAGCTTGTCTTGAGCCGGGCTGCTGCTTGTTGCCTGCTGCGTGTTGCTGCAGCAAGCTGTTGCAGAGCCTTCTCTGCAGCGGGGCCTCCTTCTTGGAGCACGCACAGCAGCGCCTGCTGCTGCTGCCCTTGCTGCCCTTGATGCTGGTGCTGTTGCGCCGTCAGCAAGTGCACCTGTCCATTGGTATCGAGATGCTGACCTAGCACCGTCTTGAAGGCGACATCTTGTATAAGCTGGCTGCATGCACCAAAGGCCGAGTGGTTCCCCATGAAATCCTTGAGAACTCTGGAGGCAACAGCTCACACACAGACCTTCCAGCACACCTGCGAGTTGTAAGTGCACGTACAGCAGCTAAATTGCGTATTCACAGAGGCTCATAGACATCAGAGAAGAAACACGCAAATCTCCTAGACAGGGCCTTCCGCTGAGGGGCCAGGGGCAGCCAGAGCTGCCATGCGGGTATACACACGCCGTTGCTGGCGTTGCACAAGTCTACACCCTAGCGCAGCAGGATTCTGCAACACGGTAAACGCATGCTGCTCACTGGTTTAAAGCGTAGGCAAGGAAGAACGAGTCATTGATCGCATTAGCGGGCCCTACTGCCGGCAGTCTGAACCAGCATGGTTTCCCTCTGCGCGTCTCAGCTCCATCCATCTGATCGTCAGCCACAAGGAAGGCCGCTTGTAAGAGCTCGACCCCCCACCCCAGCACGCATACACTGGAAGAGAAGGCAGACTCAAGGCACACGTCGCCTGCTGCCTTGGACGCTGCTGTTGCTGCACTTGCTCGGTCCGCAGGCTGCTGAGCAGCAGCACCAATCTTGGATTCGGAAGACTCTGAAAATTGGAGTTCGTGAGAGGCAGCCAGGGACGCGTATACTGTCAGCAGCCCCCGAAGCAACTTTCCGCCTGCACTCAAAATACGTATAAGAAGCGCAGCCATCGTGCCGTCAAGACACCTGGATGCAAACACCGTATGTGTAGCTGCAGCCCGCCTGAGGCGGCGATACACGCAGCTCTGAGCGAAACCACAAAAGCAGCAACATTCGGAACGCAGCATTGGCACAACCGTCCTTCGCAGAAAAAGGCATACGGAGCTATGTAAATCTACAGATCGAATCACAAGCCGTCTAGTCCCAAAACGCACAGGATGGGGCGATATCGACAAGACAGCAGCCACACGGGGCACTTTCGACACGGAGTGAGAGGGGTTGTAGCACAGGCAGAGCACACTTAGAGAATACGTGAGCATAGCTTGGAGCTTATAGACGGCGAGAGACGACGAGCTAGCTACGCAGCTAGCCAGCTAGCGCACGTACTACCAGTGGATCTGAGGGGTTGCCAAGGTACCGAGTGACCTTCAGGCGTAAAGGGAATAGCTAAGAGGTTGATTTCAAGGCAGCTTAATCAAACACTTGCCGTCAACTGTCCAACCAACAACTTCCCTTAAACCAATGTACTCTTAACCCTGAATTTTGTAGCGTCAAGACGGACCCACGCAGTTGTAGTTGATCACATTTGCGTAGTACTGCATGAGGGACGTGGCATCCGCCTCCGACTCTTTGGCGCACTCTGTGATTTTCTTGAGAAGTGCTTCTTTTACTGGCTCCAGCATCTGTGGCAACCGAAGTCGCAATGCCGCTCTGTCTCAAGCACGGTGGTCCTCAGCGAGAGCAACATCGAAGAAAGCAACAAAAGCAACACCGGTCGACGCAGAAGTAAGGGTAGTAGAAGCAGCAGCCACAGCAGCAAGTTTATTACAGACTTGCAAGAATCGTTGTTGATCCCGCTTGGTATCGACATACACCACATCACCTCCGTCATCAGGTGCTGGAGAAGTATTGTTCAAGGAGCTTCCCGCCTCTGGAACTGCTCCTGTATACCCCGACACTCCTCGAGAGGCCTCCACAGAGTACTTATTTACTGAGAGGCAGTCTTTTGACATTGCCGCTGCTGATCCCGCAAGCGTCTCGCTAGGCCTCCTAAAGGCGACGCGGAGGCGCCTTTCAGGGAAAGCTAACATTTCCGCTGTATAGGGCCTTCTAAATTCTTGACCATCACAGAGAGCCGAGCTGGAGAGACACCGTAGCGCCCCTCCTATGGGGGGCTTCTTCATGAACCCCCCGAAGCCGCACACTGCAGGAAGCCTGAAAGACCAGAGCGCATGCTGCAAATCCCCGCCATGGAAGGAGCAGCGGAGGAGCAGGCACCGCACTCGCATTTGCGGGTAGAATGCAGTCAAAGTGAAGTGGAGCTTGGAGGGCATGAATGGCCCTTGTAGCTCAAGGCCACCTTGCTTCGGGCCGATTGGCTCCAAGGGCGCTTGTCTTGGGACCTTTGAAGTGAGAGTCTGAAGAAGATAATGAAGCTGTGATCATTTGAAATAGAAGGAGTAGCCCCTGTAGTCCGAATTTTGTCTCGAGCAGAACATGTATCAGGGAGGCGCGGCGGTTCCCCCTATGGACTGCCGAGTGCGGGGTGATGATGCTCAAATAGGGGTCCACCCGTTGCTGCAGGCCTCAGAGAGTACCCTCTAACGCGTTAATAGCTTTTTTGGTGGAAGGCCTTGAAGACAAGCAGATTGAAACAGCCCCGCATGTGTGTATAACAGCTGGATGCAGCCTGCCATGCTGGTTGCCATCTCGCTGCATCGGTCATCTCCTCTGGTGTTGCCGTTGCATTGTTTTCAAGTAATACGCAAATATGGAGTACTTTATCTTCGTTTGAATGCATTCAACCCAGTGGATAAGGGCAAGTAGAGGTGACCGCAGCCGACGCGCTAGACCCTGACGCTGCATTGATCTCTTCTTATACTTTTTAAAGCACGATGCAGGGTCTGCTGTGCTTATCCTTCCTACTTCTTTCTTCTCCTCACTCTCTTCGCTGAATAAGCTGTGGTGCCCGGAGATACCAATCAGGCCTTTGAACTGCCCTTAGCTTCTGCTGGGGTTATGTAACATCGGGTGTACCTCATGCAAAGTGACCCCCATACATGGGGCTCCAGGACAGACACCTCAACCGATTCCTCAATCATGGAGGGCATACTAGCTGACTCTCTTCTGCGCGGCCAATCCACAGTACCGCGACAACCGCAGCCTAATTTAGGTACTCAAAGCAGACCCAGCCTGCAAAGGCTGGTACTGCAGTAGGGATCACCCTTTGTTGCTGCAGATGTGAAACAGGACTACCGAAGGGCTGTATAGAGCCTCTTGTTCCATAGAGTCTTGGCACCGAACTAAAGAAAGCAAAAACAGGCTTAAATTCAGGGCGTGGGTGTCCTCCCACCTTAGTAAACCCGCCGCCTGAAGCAGGCAAAACTTCGTCAGTGGTGCCAAAAAGAGGGTGCCCGCCCTCCTTGCCCTCAAGCAGCAGGGTCAGTAACGCAAAGTGACGAGGAAAATTAGCTGCCTCCGTAAGCAAACCTTCCGAAAGATCGCACAGAGCCGCACACACGAACTTAATCCACATGGCGCACCGAAGCTGCTCTTACGCTGTAGAGCTAATTCTTATTCGCAGCACTTGAAAAATGAGAACAGCCAAACCATGTAGCGCATTGAAATTACATCTTGACGAAACGCTTCGCTCTAGTGCGCCTGTACCGGCTACACCATCAAAACCTGCATACATGCATGAAGGGCATGTGCAGGCTGTAGCCATCGAACAAGGCTAAACCTTGGAGTTCAACCAATGTTTGCATTTGGAGTTTGAAGCCAAGGACTACGGTTTTGTCCGCGTTGGGAATACCTGTTCTACCAGTTTGTCCGCTTGACACTTGGCGTACGCATGACTCTCTCTGTACGCCCCATGGATAGAACGACGCGATTGGGAGCTGCGGTAAGAGTGAGGTGCAGCAACTGTTTCTTGCTACACATAGCGACGGGACAGAAGCCCCTGAGGTGATACACTTGCTGAAATTATGAGACATGGGGCTGAGAACGACCGCCGAAGCCGCTGCTGGCGAATATACGCGAGCTTGCGCGGCTGGCGTATTTGCGCTAGCTATCAGCTGAAGCGTGGCATGTGTGTTACACAAGACTTCAATTCCTTCTGCTCGTATCGGATGCCTAGTGCTAGCCTCCGAGCACTTCTTGCTGCAAGTCATGCCGCTGAAATTGAGGTATAACGCACGCATGCTGAGGCCTGCTTGCTTGTATGCGGAGGCCTTTAGGGCTCGGCGTGATAATGCACAAAACTGCCCAGATCAACTGCAGTGAACTGAGATGACGACGGGGCTACATTTGATAAAGAGAATCTCTCACTGCGAGCTCAGTACAGAAGATGAATCTTCGGACTCTAGCTCGCTGCCGGCTGCTGCAGTAAAAGCGCGCAAGCGGGAGGAACTGCACGACCTTGCCAAAACCTCCCGTTACACTGAGCTGTTGAAATGGCGATCGAAAAGCGCTGCGCGCCTTTGACACGCTGCAAAGAGGACCACCATTTGATAAGGCCCATCTTTTACGACTCGCCGATAGTGCTCCAAGTTAGGCATTGAAACCTATTCCGCTTCGCCTTTATTTTGGTCTTGCTGTGGGTTCTGGTGCGCCTGCTGCTCCTGCTGTGGGTTCTGGTGCGCCTGCTGCTCTTGCTGTGGGTTCTGGTGCGCCTGCTGTTCTTGCTGTCTCTTCTGTTTGTGCATGCCTTCCGTCACGCACGAACTGCTGTTTGTAGATGAGGCTGTCGTGGGAAGACCGGTGCTGTAGGGGCAGGGGTTTTCAAGAAAGAGATAATACAGGCGGCCCAGGATAACATACTGGACCAGCAGCATTGAGAGGATTGTAAGCTGGCAGATAAAGAGACCCCTCTCTCCCTTCGATACAGCGATCTCATAGAAGAAGTTGCAAACAAGCGACAACAATCCCCCTACCATGGCCGCCAAACCCACGAGGGTACTGAAATGCTTCGGTGAGAAGGTATGCTCAATATACACAAAGATCTGTCCCATGAAAAGCGACATATAGAAACAAAAGAAAACGACTGAAGCATAGCCCGCGGCCTCCCTCCTCAGCATGGCAAGGGCGTACATAAGGAATCCGGACGTATTGAGTGCCAGCATAACCCGCACAATCCCCCACACGTCCGCCAACTTTCCCAGGATAATACACGGAATGAAACTGAGAGGCAATGCCACCTCTAGGAAAGCGACCACTGAAGTGGAGAAGCTTCGCCGGGGAGCCAACTGATAGAAGCAGGAGACCCACACAACTCCCACAAAGTACAAAACCACCAATACATACCGCTCTGAAAAAATCTGGCTCCGAAAGTTGCACCTTTTCTCACTGCCCGGAACGGCGGGGAGCGCAAGACATTTGTCCATGGAAACTTCATGAGTCAGGTCGTCGTCTTTTGCGCTGCCTTCTGCCGCTGCTTCTCCGAGCTGCCTGGAGCCAAAGACTTGCAAGGAGACGGAGCTGCCTCCAGTCTCTACAAAAGCCCCAACGGGAGGTGACGGGGGTGCCAGCGCCTCTGCCACCGGGCCAAGAGGAGGGCAGGAGTAGGAGGTTTTAACTGGTGACTCGGGTTCCTGGCTTGCTAAGGGAGAGTGTTGGTGGATGTCGGGTGGTTGTGTGCGTGGGTAACGCGATTGCGTGTGCTCGGTAGACTGATCCTCTGTGCTGCTGGACCCCTTCACATGTGTGGTGGCTGCATGCTTGGCGTCCACTGACTTGGCGTTCACATCATATACACGAAAGTTGCGGTAGGGGAAAAGGGTGAGCGCCACGAAGAACATACAGCCTGGTCCTACAAACGCGTATACCCAGCATACCTTGAGGTCGTTACCTCCAAAGTATTCGAGGATCACCGGCACAAACATAGACGCCGAGGCAGCGGAGCCAGTGATGGTAATGATCAGACCAGCGCTGCCGGGGAAGAGCCGCGCGATACACAGATGGGGCAGCGAAGATGTGTCAACTCCGAGCCCAATCAACACAAAGGCCGCAGGCAGGGTGTAGCGAGAGTTGCGAGTCGTACTGGCCAGAAGACACCAGCCAGTAAAACTGATGGACTGCCCCAGCAGCGCCGTCAGACGAGGCCCTAAGGAATCCACAAGGAAACCCGCAAGAGCCGAGGAGGAGAAGTGTACTGCGAGGGTCAAGGTGTAAAGCTTCTGAACAGCCGCCTCCTGAGCGTTGCACACACCAGGAATTTGTTCCTGTCCAGGCCCCTCCAAGAAGGCAGTGCTGTCCTCGTCACACAAGTAGGAGAAGCCCCCAGCCCGCAAGATCATCGTTGCTAGAGGAGCCCAGCCCATATACACGCAGCCAGTGACAAAGATATAAAAAGAGTAGGTAATTAACAAGACATAACGGTTGAGGCCCCACGGGGTCGGCTGCACAGCCCCTGGCAGATCGCTGCGCGGCAGCAGACGAGGTAAGTATGAATGAGTGAAGCGCTTCATTTTCGTTGAGTTAAACGGTCTCAAGAAAGGGAGAAACCAACTGTTGCTTTGACTGCGAGGAGAGCCATTGGCTCTCGTTTTGGTGTACATATAGAGGCTGGAGATTCACCACTTTCTTTGCTGAGCATCCAGAAGCAAAGCTTCTGAACTGATACAAGCCTGGGCTGTTCAGGGAACTATGGCCAACAAACCAGACATGCGTAAGCCACATGCAAAGCATAAGTTGTGGGGCGTTGCACTGCTAGTCCGCTCTGTGCAACTGGACTAAATCCAGGGCCTGTGACAGGTGGCCTGCCTGAGTAATCAAAAGCTGGAAATGCGGAATGTACAGGGGTGTTACAATAAAACAAGCGATGCAATGAAGAAGATGGAGCAACTTTCTTTCCCCAGATGGGTATCGAGGACTTTTCTCAGCCAGCAGTATCTATTCTTGCAGTTATTGGGATGAGTACTAGCCAAAACGGGCCAGAACTGTTTCATAAAATAGTCATAAGCTCAGAAGAGTGAACTGCCCACCAATTGATGCGTACACAAACCAGTAAACGGGTTAAACCCTTGGGGCTGGTGTAGGGCACCGGGGCCGTATTGGATTTTAATAAAATGAACTCAACAAAGTTCAGCCCAGTACAAACACCATTTATATTTTCTATAATTTGCTCGAGAGCTGCGTGGGTTACTTGATCGGTCGAAGTATTCAAGCGAAGTTCTTAAAGAAGTCGTAGCAATTATGGGCTAAAGTGGACACCAGCTTCTAGTACGGCTCACTCGTTCAGATCAGTTTTTCAGAAATCTCTCATGAACTTGCGGTGGTTGCGTGACTCTCTGTTGACAACATGATGGTTACTCTTTGGTGAGGTGCAGAAAGCCTTTGCATGCGAGCCCTCACATGAAACACAGCATCACTTTACAGGGTCATTTCAACCCGTTTCTAAGGCTGCTGTGCTTCAGTTTAAACGCCCTTGAGGTATTGAAGGCTGTAAGCTGGCAGGAAATGACTAATCTGCTTCAGGCGTGACTGGCAATATCATGCTTGCAATGGGCATAGCGACACTTCAGCAGGCCTTACTACACCAGCTATAGAATTAAAATTAGTGGCGGACACACCAATTAGTCTGCCTGTTTGTATATCGTCGTATTGTTTGCAGAGCACTCTGCGCTAGATACAAGAAGATGCAATGTTGTGTGCACGTGCACCAGGTGCAATGTGCAACTACCTGTGAATGGAGTGCTTGGATGGTCCAGCTGCGCGCACCCTTGCGGCCACCCTCTCCGTATCATAGACCTAGGTGAGCGCGGGAAGGAGGAGGAGGAAGCTTCTTTGAGAAAAAGTAACGTTCTATTGATATTTCTTCACTCTGGAATGAGGTGTCCCCCTAAGGAGACCTTGGTTTGACCCTTGTGCTTGTGCTATGAATGATTATGTGCAGCATGATGCACTGAGGAAAATTAGAAAAGCGCGATCAATGCGCGCCGTGTACATTTCTGCAAAACTCTTGAATTCAGGTTGCCGACTAGGTTGGGCTAGCGGTTTTCGCAACGAGCTTTTTGATAACGCGCCTCCCCAAAAGTCGACCATGGTTAGGAAAGACACACTTAGAACCAGAAGCACTAACTACCAGTACTAGAGGGCAATGATTAATGGCTTCTGCGGGATAATGAAAGGACGAATACAGACTTAGGACGACAGCAAAAGGCTTAGGCGTTCATCTCGTAGAAGTTTCCGCAAATGCACCTGGTGAAGGCCGGGTTTGTTTCATAGCTTACCACATGGCCTTACATTCGAGTCAGGAGATTATTGGTTCAAGCAATTCATAGAGAGCGAGTCAGCACGCGAACGCCGCAGACGCCGCGACTCGAGACGACAATCTAAGCACTGATCTGTAATTGTATTCTTATTTTATTCGCCGACCGATAGGAGCTGGTAGGTGACACCTATTATAGTTGTATTCATATTCAAAAGGTGACCACCTGTGTGGGAACTAGTTACGAAAGACGCAAAGAGTTATGAAGACTTAAGGCGACTTTTTCGTGGGCTGAGTATTCATAAAAGCGAAAAGAATTGGAAAAATAAAACATTAGGCATAGAAAATGGTCGCTTGGTGTATTGCCAAGTTTTGTGCTCTTTAGATTGACAAAGACTTTATATAATTGTTTGGCGTCAACTTGTAGCTGCGCCAAACGGATACCTGCAGAAATGATTTAGCACCGAGGATACCTTATATGTGCATCATGCGGCACGGACTGGGAGCAGAAAAGACAGGTCACACGACCCACTCCCTGGCCCCTCCGCCTCCGGCAGACGTGCGAAGAATGCCAAAAGTAAAGAGGTCACAACTTCTGGCCTTTCGGCTCGCAAAACTCCTCGTATTCTCCCTGACCTCGGTTGTTTGACCCGCCTTTGTATTCTTCTGTGCCAACAAGCATTCCTGTTGCATATTCATCCCAGTAGTCCGAATGAAGCCCTTCTTGGATTCCATCCCACAAAACCTTGTCTTCGGCGGCATCCCGTCTTTTGAACTCCGGTTTTCCTGCTTCAACATCACAAAATTCCATTGGCTGAAGGCCCTCCGACATATGGCCGCTTTCGTCTTTTGATAAATTTCCATTGAAGGAGGTGAGCCGGATGAAAGAGGGTCCATCTTCATTAGAACGCCATCGAGTTATCGAGTAGAAAGGATCGTTGGCGCTACTGAGCTTTCGGGCATTTCCAGGAGCTCTTTCTTCAAACGGAGTGTATGAGTGGAAACCGTCATCGCCGAAAAGCATACCGCCACGAGTTTTGTAGAGATGTCCGACATGGCCCCCCTGAAAAAAGTGAATGCAGATTATAGGGTATGCCAAATATTTTTGATAAACTTGGGCTGTTTCTTCAACACGTGTCCCCACATTGCTCTATCTTGTTGCGCAGCTACTGGCAGCTCTGCGTGATGCATTTGCGACTAGCAGTGCTCACTAGCTCCGCTTCACACCCCATGAGCATGGCAGGGGTGAGCCCGTGATCACAACCCAACAGCTTTGAGCTTACGAGTAAGAAAAGCGCGTTGAGGAATTGTGATGATGAAGGTGCTATGGCCACTGAAAACGGTTCTTTGAGGACGTGTACTCCGTAATAGATGGCAAACATGTACACCAATACAGCAGCTGTTACCAGGCTAAAGTAACAAGCATACAGAAAAGCACCCAAGAATATGCATTATGGGAGCTCAAAAAGGTGTGGCGATATATAGCGAAGCAAGAGTGTGGCTAAACGACAATTTAGCTGTTTATTAATTGAGCGAAGTGTAGAAGCAGGATGCGGCTGCTAGGGGCTGGATCAGGACCAGCTTGAGGGGGTGTAGAAGGATCAGAGGCAGGAGAGAGGCGAGAGAATATGCAAAATGCGCATTTTGCTGCTGACCTCCACAGCAAAAACTTGAGCAAATAGATGCTCATGGAAAAAAGCCAAAGAGGTGCAAAAATTATGTTGAAGTGCTGCGACATTTCTTCCTTTGGCAGCACCAAAGCCATGCGAATCTCCCGATTCATCTTGTTTTTCTGCGCTGTGAACATACAGAAACAAGCAAGGTATAAACGGAATGCAATGTAGGAAGCCTCTCGTCCCTTTGGCTTCCGTCTAGACTGTATTCTATTATGCCTAGTGCTAGCATTTGCCCAAATAATTGTAGGAAAAGCCTCGCGATGCTCTCCTAATTGCTCGCTACTCTCCCGTGAATTTTGCACTTTTTCCTCCCTCCAGATTTGCCAATTCTTTACTCATTTCTGTGCTGGTGCTTCTAGCCGAAATCTTACTAGTCATTACGCAAGGGGCAGTTGAGGCCGAACATGGTAGTGCAGAAGAGTGGATGTGGGTCAGGCAACAGCCCACCAGCCCGCCTAGTACAGTGCAACACGCGCGCAGCAGACAAAATAGTTTTGATGTAGCTGTTCCATTATCTCCCCATACAGCGTAGAAGAAGCTCTTAAGTATTACACCGAGTTTGGCATCTGGAAAAAAATTCATCGGCGCGCTTCACATTGAACGGCAAACATCGTTTTCGGTCGTTGTGTCAAGCAAAAGTCTCATATTTTCCCCTTCCCAGTTCGGCACGCGAATTTTACTTGAACCCTTTCCTGTCTCACCTTCCCTGTCCTCGCAACCGTCGCCCCCGCATTTACCGCAGGAGGCCAAACAGCAGGCTGAGCCGTCTTCGCTAAGGGTTCCAGAACTGCACGAGGGGTCGCGTAGACTGGCAGCAGCTGAAGTCCGAAAAATGTGTTCACAGGCAAAACAAGACAGAACCTGTATGCCGTGTGGGCGATAAAACGTCCAAGCCCAAAGGGATACAAACGCGAAAAGAATTCGTTGAGGATTTGGTCACATCTAGAAACAAATGTTTGGCGTGATGCACAGCCGCATGCAAACCAGATCCGGTTATGCTTTGTTTGCGGGCGGCTGTGATCCAATGGCAGATATATTGATTCGAATGATCTGCACTGCAATGACGGCAGGTAAGTGTGGAACTGGCAAGGCGAAAAAGTGCGTTGCAGGGCATAAAGGCAGTGCTTGTTCCCGCATTTCACCTGGCGCAGCGCACTGTTTTTTGAAGAAGACTTGTATATCCTGAAACGCATGACGAGCAGATGGTGCTACAGCGCAATACTAATGCCGAATTCTTCATCATGTTAGTTCCCTGCTATCAGGGAAACGATGATCGATTAAAGTGAGTTCATATATTTGAATTTAGAGGGTGTGCCAAGAGTGATAGTGAAGGCAAAATTTTCATTACAAGGCCACACAGGAAAAGCTTATAGGATGGTCAGTACAAGTTTGTCCCTTGGAAGCAATCCTTTAACCAATGTCATTCCTTCCATAATTTATGTTCAGATTTTACACGGCAGAAGACGCCGTACTAAAAACGAGGTCTTTTGAGGCTGGTATTGGAGCACTGCGCTGCACAGGCTGCTGGATAGATCACTAAGTAAATGGATGAAACAGCTTACTCTATAGGCGTGAAACGGAAAGTCAAGTGTGACAATTGATTCCCCTGCGTCGCGTCATTAATCAGCACACAGGTATGCATGGCAAAAAATGGAAACCTGGTATGGATGAACGAACGACTTGCATTGGCGAGCGTTGCCCTTGTGGATGCTGTGGCCCTAGTAAGTCATTCATGGGCACATGTGTACGCACTGCAAAGAGAAGTGTGCAGTTAACCCTATGTGAACACAGATAGGTGATTCAGAAAACAATCCTTTTTGCGCCTGCAGCGTGGCCCGTGCCAAAAAGCCGTGTAATCTGTGAAGGGGGGCAGCAAGGGGGGAGTGTTGGATGGCTAGTGCTTTTTCTTGTACAGCTTACCCTCGGACTTGCATTGGAACTGCAGAACGAACCGCCGCACGTTTTCTTCAGATCCCGGAAGGGCCTCTCTAAGAGCTATATGTGAAGACTGCCGCGTAGCCACGAGACTGTTTGCACCACGCTCGGTCGACTTGTCATTAGCTTTACTGGTGCCAAGGTAATTGTATAGCAGAGGGAACATCACTTGCAAATCAGCCGCTGAGACAAACGTAAACCGCACTTAATGAGGCAAGCATTGCTTTGGATCCAGCATCTCGGCCGAATCCCGGGCTGTAGCAGAGTGTGCGCCCCGTTTGTATCTTCATACATGAGGATTGCTAGCGATGGCCTCAACAACCGGGGAGAAGACATTCATTGCATACGGCACCCGCTAAATGTTCATGGTTTCTCGGGTGTCACCCCCTGTAGTGCAACAGCCTGGGCTTCAGGCGCAAACAGCTGTCAGCAGGGCACTTGCCTATTGTTGGAATGTTCATGTCCAGTTTACCCTCCTTGCATCCCCGACACCATACGTAAAGTTCGACAAAGTCTTGCTGCATTCATAGCATCAGCCGCGCACGGCCATTTTTGGCAATATCTGTAGGGGTCTGGTGGAGATCCAGTGTTTTGGAAACGAAAGCGTTCATAAGTTTAGTGAGACGGCTACGAGCAAAGACTGAGCATGCTTACAGAAGGATCGAATGCGACACTTGTGGACTGCACGCTGGAAACCTCCTGTGCGACTTCGCCATTTGCGACTATATCTCCTTCCTTAGACGTGATGGCACGGATGTCTGCCACGGTGGGGGAAGCCACGAGGCGTGGGTCGAACGGAACGTCGGCTGAATCGCGCAGTGCAGGAGAACCTCCAGCATTGGCGGTTGGCGTCAGGGGGCCGATGGCCACGTGGAATCCCTGAGGTACCTCTGTGGCAAGTGGCACAATACACAAAAAGTGTGCACCGTTTGAGCAGCTGTGGTGGAAGTTAGTAGCGACTGCACTCAAAAAGAAGTCTTGTTACAACAGAAAGAGGGGTGAGATTCTGCCTGCTGGTGGACTTACCCTGTAAAAGCGCGCTGCTTGAACAGATGACTTTCCACGTCAGAACAACAGGTTCGCATCCATCTAGTCGTAACTCCGCTCTAACGGTAATAGGCTCGCTGCTGTCACCTCCAACGGAAAAGCAACTTTTGTAAACCACGTCAAGCTCAGCTACCGGGCGGTGTATCCCGTCTTGGTGCTGGTGGTCTACTAGCTTTCCTTCGCTCCCGCTCACTTTGTAGGAGAGAAGCAGCCCTGCAAGTTGCTCGGACCAGCAGAGAGTTTTGTATGAACACTGAACTGATTAGAGGCATCTACCCATATGAGCGTGACACTCGTATTGAATCAGTTTCTACTGGTAGCTACAAGCATGTGCTAGACTCAGGCAGCTTGCGTACGGGTTCAAAGGCCTACGGAGCGGCTCAGGAGTACAGAGGAAGCGTACCGTCACCGTAGGCCATATTTACGTTGATAATGGGCATCAGAAGCATGGAAGCCATCTCGTCGTAAGCACTCCTGATGGGAGCTACCAGCCGAATCAAAGTCGCGGTCCCTTCGTCCATCCGGAATACGGGGTTATCTGAAAGCATGCACACCCCGGGGCACACAAGGTCCCAACCTTATTAAAATAGGGAAACGTTGAAAGGTTTAACGATGTTGGAAAAAAACGGTGCGCAAGGTGAGGATTTCACTACTGCACGAGGACATACATGATCTGTTGGCTAAGATATTGACGAATGCAGAAACTGGCATAAGAAGAGGCTTGAACGCCCTACTTCTGGTTAGATTCTGCCTTACCATCCGCATTTTCCGACCACAGAGGAGTGACCTTGCCTCCCTCAACAATGAGTCTCGGGTTTTCCTCTCTGTTGGCTGGGTCCAGCGCGGCCTGGCCGTGGATATGATGGAGGAATGGCGTGCCATCTTCTTGTCCTGCTTCTTTTTGCACAAAATCCTTGAATCGAGAGGCCAAAGAAGATGGGAGGGGAGATACCAAAAAAGCGTCAAAGTGCTGGCAATTCTCAATTTGCACATTATCGCTTTGGGGCCCAAAAAAGGCGTACCGCAAAGGGTTCTCCTCAGCAGGAGGTGGAAATAATTCGTCAAAGTCCTCAGACTCGGATGCAATGCCTGATGCGCTGCTCAAGCCAGAGAAACGGGGGGGAAAGGGCTTCACGGGTAGTAAGTACGGAACTACTGCATTCGGATCAGGAGTTTCCACAGGGTTGACCTCTGAAGAGTCCCCTGGAGGAGTAGCCTGGGAGCTTTCAAAAGCGACCAAAGGCTGAGAAGCTGCTGCAAAGTCAGTGCCGCTCTGGTAGTCACTATTCCCCGTAATACTTTCAAATGCAAAAGAAGGTTGTGCACCAGCACCGGACTCGTAAAGGAAAGCAGAGTCTGGCGCGTCTACAGGGGGAAGTCGAAGCTCGTCGGTCAGGTTTATTGGGCTGCTGAATAAAGGGCCGCCTTCACTTGTCTCCAGAGGCAGCCCACCGACCGATTCCGCAGAAACCCATATCCCTACTGCGACCGCTGCACTGAAAGCTCGTGCACACCATTGTGAACGATAGGGTGCGTGGCCGCTCGCATTGAAATTAAGGCTCCGAATAAGCACATTATTAGGGGATTTGCAAATGTGAGCAGAGTTGGGGATTTGAATCGGCCCTATTTTGTCCTGGTCAGACGCTGCATCCCGGCGAACATTATGGTTTTTCCTCACCATGCTGAGTAACGCCACGCGCCAACGAGCCTCTAATTTTTCTCCAGCCAACAGACTTGGAGGAGAGTTACAGCAGGAAGCAGAGACTGCAGCAACGAAAGATGACTTTGGGTCCAGAATGGCATGTATGGAATTCGCCCGCTCGGTTTCAGCCAGCGGAGGGCGAACCGCGGAGTGCTTGAAGGCTTTGCTTTTCCCTCCGGAGTTCAGAGTTTAACCATTGGTGACAAAAGACAAACAGAACTTAGATACTTGGATGAACCCAACTGCAATGGGATGCCTTCGCCGGCCCAGTAACTGCTCCACCCCCCATAACACACTCGTTCACGCGGGCCACCAGGACCGGAGCCACGAGGTGGCAGGAAAAATATCGATTCGGACTGACGTCTCCCAGAAATTTGTTTGATATCACTTTTGGAATTTAGGATTTCGATTTTACCAGTGGATTTAGGTTTTTCATCAGTGAATTGCCAATGGGGCATGTCCTACTAATTCAGCAACAAACAAACATACAGAATGCCAGTGACCACCTGTTTGAAACTACATGTTTTACGGCTCCCTAACGAAGCCTCTTGCTCTGAGCAGCATACCGCATGCAGTCGCTCATTGTTTTCGTGGGCTATGACAGGCCATGCACCAACGGGTTTTCCCTAAAAGGCAACATTCGGCAGCACCTTTCCCTGCCGCACTTGCCTGTTACATTCTTTCGGCGGTTTGACTTGTACATACTATTAATTTGCGCAAAATATTCTATCAATATCTCCGAAAGTGCCCTATAAGTGTGCTCTCAAGGATTAGTGGTGGCTAACGGAGCACATAAAGAACAATGAGCAGAGCCAAACGCATCAGAGTTCCGCCTTGTAGTTTCAAAACGAAAGTAATAAAGGATCTTCAAACGAATCAGCCGTCAGAAATAAGCGAAAACCCCAAGTGCACTGAAATATATCACTGAAAAAATTTTCACGGCTTGTATACCAATGCAGACTCCACTTATTGCTTTTACCTGTCGAGTTTCAATCAAATTTAAACGCATTGCAAAAGCAACAATCCCCTCAAAGTATAGGCTTTATCATCTAAATATGAGTCCGTTTGCGGACGCGTATAAACCGAACAGCAGGTTCCTGCCACCTGAAAATGTAGGTTCTGTTCACTGCTTCGGAAAAAGATGCTGAGCTCCTAGGATGGAATGCTGGCAGGTCTGATGCACGACCGCGTAACACGGGGACTTGCTGGATGAGCCCCGTCGTAGATATGTGCTATGTTGTTTCGTGTCTCGATAGTCCAGGGAAAGGCTTCACGGCGCCGAGGAAGGCCAAGTGGTCTGCATACGCTGGCGCTTTCTGTGGGGATAATCCAATTCTACAGCACAAAACTTGAGGCGACCCGCGTCTGCAATGAAGCATAGGCTTTGAACGGGGTCATACGGGCTACCCTCCGCATACAAACTGCTTATTCCACCTGCTTAATTGCCCCAATTAACGCTTCAGTGCCGTCTAGAATTAGTGCATATGCCTATCACATGTCAGTAGTTGTATTCAAAACACTTGGCGTACCTCGCTACACTCAAGTGCTGCCGCCCGATGATGCCTGATAGTGGTGCCCAGGAAGTCTTTCACCCCCTGATTCTCCTTAGGCATCAGACCCTGAGCGAGCACAGTCCATCACATGTTGAAAAGCATTCGGTTCTGTATCCCCACGGAGATAAGCAAGCTGATACTTCGGGAAACCCGACAAGTCTGCGGTAGTGCCAAAGCGCAAAAGAATCTATAAGGCTGCCAAATCGCCACTGTCTACAAATAAAAAGGAATGCACTAAATAAATATGCAGTCTAACGTGTGGAGGTCTGGCACGCGCTTTCGTACCAGGATATCGTGTTCAATGTTGTCCTTAGCCTTCTCCACAGAGCTTTTCCGCGCCCTGGATGCCACATATGGATCGAAGGCGGTAAACTTTACTTCTGCTGAGGCTTTTCCAGGACGCCTGGCCGTCATGATTTCTGTGCGGCCGGTTAAAGCGTCTGTGACGTGGAACTTCGTGCAAAACGCCTCGTTAAGCTGATCGGGAGAGAAATATTGTCTCAGGGATCGGAGGCCACTGTGTGGCACCTCTGCCTTTGAACCCACACTAGCAAACAAGGTGGCCACCTGATCCGACTTATTGGTTTCTGAGGACTGTTTCTTGCTTCCGTGACAATAGGTTGAATCATTGATTTTGTTAGTGTACTTGCCAGCGTAGCCCTGAAGTGTCTCAGTCTCCCGATTGCCCCTCCTGCTGCAGATATCCGGCACATTTGGCTGCAAAATAGCACTCATTTCATCTCTGAGCGCTGAGTGCTTTGATCCCAAAATAGTATCCCTGCGGAATTTCTTCATGAGTTGGGGCGAAGCCAACTGTGAGAGCCGCGCGCTGGGCAAGCCTGCAACTGTCTGATCAGTGTTGTGCATCATGATCACGAACAGCAGAATAGAGTGCAACAAGATGATACGAAACAAAGAGCCGAAGCTTTCGAAAGATCCTGAGAGGTACCACAAGGTCAGCTTTACTGAAGGAGAAAGCAAAGCTTCACCGAAGAGGGAAGAAGGCCGAGTACCGAGTCCAGTGTTGCCGCTCTCTACCACATGTGTCCTGCAGCGAAAAACCACACAACCCATGCGCTTTAGCTGCTGAGCAAGCTGGAAGCGTGCTTTTCATGGGACGATTCAATGATTAGGCCACTATAGGCCGATGGCTGCAGCGCCGAAGGTTGGAAGAAATACAGTAATCACGAAGCACATAGCGGCTCAGGCCTCGGAAAAAAACAAGAAGCAGAAGGAACAAATGTTTCAAACCGAAGATAAGAGAGATGCCCAGTGCCCGCAAGCATGTTCTCAGTGCTAGATGTATTCTGGGTCTTCGAAGGGGGATAGCAATTTATGAACCTGATACAGCTCTCATTTCCAGAATGACGTAGCGTATAAGTGTATCGAAACGCTGGGGCACTAAGTTTTTGACGTCCCATGAACGTTGTAGGTGTCAACGCAAAGCGCTGCCCAGTCAAAGACCGCTGCAGCCTGCGCCCCTGGTACACACATTCAATACAAGTGGCTTGTTCACCTTTACTCCGTAGGTCTTGGAACGATTTAAGCTAGACAGTAAGCTTTGACGAAAGTCTTAGAGAAGATTAAATACCTTGCTTCGTGGGTTCGTACATATCCCATCTGCGGCCCTATGGCTGTTGATGCTGACCTACACGAATGGTCTTCCGAAATGACTGCTAAACAATTGTCCATTCGGTAAAAAGAGGAGCCTCATGCAAATATGTCCCAGTCGCTTGGCTACATGAGCTACGAGCGGGGTGCAGCAGGAGCCGACGAAGTGTCGAGCTGTGTGCTGTGGTGGTCGCGTCCCACGGGCACTGCACGTGGCTGTTGGTCCTGTTGGGAAACTTTAATCCCAGTTTCGTTAGACTGACATTTTCCCCTAGTAGTTTACATTGATAAAACCGGTATATCGCTCTTGCAATAAATAGGGCAGCTGAGGAGAAACTGTCGATTGCACCAAGCAACTCTTCATCGCCCCTAACCGCTTCCATGTGCGGTGCACGGTTTGACGAGAGAGTAGACTTGACAGCACTGTAGGTTGAAATGATCAAAATATCAAGCCTATCTTATATCCAGAGTGTAACAACCGATATTGACAGTCGCCTTTAAAGTACGGCAACAACAAATGCTACCGCTGGAAGGTAGTACTGCGTGGAATGCATCATCGCCCACGCAGTCACCTGAGATTTCGATTCACTCATGAAGAAATACTGCAAAATCAAAGAGATAAGTGGAATTTGGAGTGCATACCTGTAAGCAAGGGCAAAAACAACAATAGAACATCAAGTCATCTTTGTGAATATGAAGAGGTGAGGAAGAGCCCTGAAACTCTGCTAGATGCGGAGGGTTCCCGGGAATACAGCACATAAATGCAAAGTCCATTAGATTCTGTGCTGACTTGGCAGCAAGTGAGGTGAGGAGTTAATCTGCTGCTACCAACAGACAAAGTCAACTCCGGCTCACGTGGGAGGAGATACAGCCTTTAAATCTTGCTTAGGCAGGGATACTCTTTATGATTGTGGTAGAGCCATAAAGTACAAGGCCATGAGTCACCGTGTGAAAGCTTTACTTTACAAGCTTATTCATCCCGATCGAGATCTAACTACAGGGAAAGAACAAGAACGCACACGCAGATATCCAACAAAAAAGGCGACCGGCAAGCGAAGCAGTAATTTGAATTGACGGGCACTCGGCATAGAGCGCCTCTAAGAATCAAAGTTTTTTGCAGTGACCGCACCAAACAAAAAACGTGATAATTACATACAACCTGTGGGGGGTTTCCCCACAGACCCCTGGAGAAAGAGCAGTCCCCCGATACGTAGAAAACACGGGGGGGTTGGGTGACGCCAGGACCTGACTGCCCCCCATAGTCAGTTCCTCTTGAAGACTGCATTTCCATCGTTTTTAAAAGGATGCTGTCCAGCAAGAATGCCTCAACAGTAGCACGGAAAACACGAATTCACAGCTACCCCAAAGTCGTCTGCGTCAATCACGACACAAAAAAGCCGATTGAGCGAGAGGCACGACCAAGTCTTATCCATAGCTCTTTGCCCGTGCCACCGGGGCACACCTTGAGAAGAAAGTGAACACGCCGCGCCGACTGGCTTTGCCATTAAAGAAACGCAGAACACCCACAATTGCACACCGAAAGATTTGGCATCAAGAGGGCCTGGAACTTCGGTAGAACGTCGGCTGCTGCGTTGGGCAGGTAGATAGTCTGCACTTCAAACGCATACTCCGCCACTGACACCGCGGGCAGTGCGGCTTTGCCGGATATGGGATGGCCCCACGTGTCAGAGCTCTCGATTGGGGTACCGCCGTCAAACTCTGGAGCCCGAAGGCCTGGATTTGGATCCTCCTGGTGCTCGTTGGTTGCTTCTATACTGTAAACTGTCACTCCGTTACGATGGACTGCAAAAGAAGCTTCATCAAGGCCTTGACAGACGTCATGGTCGCGTAGGGAGTCCGTTTCCCCGCTGCCTAGAGACGTCCTAGGGGCAATTCGGGAGACTCCCTTAAGGCTTGCTTGCACAGCATGGCTCGGCCGCCAGAGTGTAGACGCAGTGACGATGCCCTCTTCCGCCAAACAATGCAGGAGAAACTGAACTTCGCAATCGTCGAGAAGACAGAGCATTCCCTGTAGCTGCTGGGCGGTGCTGCCTGGCCTTTGTAAAAGGAGACACCAAAGTCGTAGAGACAGCAGCTGTACAAGAGACGCATGTAGGCGGCCATCCAAACGCAGCCAGGCGCACGCGGGCAACAAGTCTCTGGACAAGTGCAATGGCCGTAAGGGGTCCTCCGCCGGTGCAGTGGATCCAAGAGGCGACATCAGCGAGGACCCTGAAGGGGTCTGAGGAGTAGAGAGCCACGTCAGCATGGTACTGAGAAAGCCACGGGCAATCTCTGCATGCCGCTCGCCGGCTGTGTTATCTCCCTCTCGTGCATCCCAGAGAGACTCAAGAAATTCTCCTGTTGGGAGGTCCGAAGGCCCTCTGGGAAGTAATGCCCCCTGTCTCTCTGTAGCTGTTTCTGCCTCGGAGAGGGCGAGATATATTTCTTTATCCGCGGCAGGCGGATGCAGCTTAGAGCTACCAGGAGGCCCCCATGTAGCCCAAATGGCGCGGGGTATCATTGCAGGGCGTTGCACGTCATGGATAAAGGGCAGATGCCCTTCATGGGCTTTGCTTCTCTCGCTTCCCTTGTCATACATGTGAGCCTCTGCTGATGCGTCGCGTACTGTTGTTGCTGTTATGTGTTCCTGGGAAGGAGCCCTTTGACTTCTTTGGCACGTTGTCTCCCCGGAGAGACAATGTGTTTCCTCCGTTTTTCCGTGGACTACCCAGCGAGAAGCGACTGCGTCGCTCAGAACAGGTCGCACCCTAAGACAAAAGCGAGCAGCGGCCTCGGCCGCCGCCACTAGGCGCCAACTGCTGCCCCCCGGCACCGGGACAGCAAGGCGCAGCCAGCAGAGGACTGAAGCAGATACCAGGAACAGCTGACACCACAGAGAGGCAGGGGCGCAGCTGCTGTCAGTCGCCGCGTCGCTTGCCTTCCGAAGAGGCCACATATCGGCAGCTCCCACCACAGAAGTTCCCCAATCGTGCCTCACCGCACGCTGCCCCACTCCCAAGTCGCCTTCCACAGAGGCCCCTGCCATTTTGTATGTGGCAGACTTTAAAGCGAGGCTTGCTGCCCGCTGCAGGTCCCGGTCTGCTGCTGTTGTCGCTGAGGCTTCCCCAAAGGCCCCGTCCCCAGTGTCGGCCTTCCTTTCTGCTTGCATCTCCAGCTCCCCCGAGAGTTCGAGGAGTAGCGAGTGTACAGCCACGCCGTCTGCTTTCGCTCTTAGAATGGAACAGAGAAGCCACGCCGGGCAGAGTGACAACGCTGTGCAGACACAGAGGTCCAACTGAGAGGCCGCCTCCCCTTCCCGTGATGCCGAGGCAGGGTCTTCGAACACCCCGCTGAGTTCCTTCACTGCAGCGTCATGGATCTTTCTTGCAGCGGCGGGCTCTGGGGGCACTGGCAACAGCGGCAGCAACGCGTGCTGCTGCACCCTCAGGGCGGCCAGTGCTGTTTCCCCCACGGCCTCGATAAGAGGCTTCGGAAGCGGTCCTGCATCACTCGAAGAGCTCGAGAGAGCAGCCCTGACTGCCGCTGAAGCCGGCAAGTGCTGTGCACCTCGGAGCGCTCCCAAGCAGCCGGCAAGCGCTGCAAACGGCCCAAGACGCGTGCCAGGGGGGCCTTCGTCGTCGTCTGGCGGCCTCTTTAGAGCACCCAAGGGATGTACAGGGGTGCTCAAGGCCTCCGTCTCCGCCGGAGCAGCACTGGTCGCCGCAGCAAGGCTAACGGTGTCTGCCGATGCCTCTGGTCCGGGGAGAGAGCCAGCGCAGCACGCAGGAGTGCACACACACTCTGGGGGCCCAAAGGCCTCGACAGCTCGCGCTGCAAGCCTCCAGTGCTGCTTGCGATCATCTGCATACGTCGGCAGGGACACAGGAAAGCCTCCAGAAAGCCCCGGTCTGATGCGCAGCGCTCGTGCCGCCGCTTTCTTCTGTGCGTCTCCTCGCTGCGACGCAGCCTTGCGTGAGGTCTTCTCGGGCTCCTCGGGAAGCGTGAAGGAGACGGCTGCGCTTGCCGTGCGATTTGTGATTACTGGCGGCAGCAACGAGGGGTCAAATGCGTCGAACTCCCCTGCAGCACCGTACAGGCCGTCCACTAGGTGACTGCCGGGGGGAACTCTGGGGGCCTCTCCAGGATGCCCCTCTGCCAGCCCTGTTGCACTCGGGTTCTGCTGCTGCTTCGCTTTGAGGCGTCCAACCGCGCAAGAAGGCACCGTAGGGGGACATGCGAAGGCCTGCCGCAACTCGCCGCACAGACTGTCGGCTTTGGGAGTTAGAGGAGCCTCCTCCTCGGCATCAGCGGAGGCCCCCACGGCAAGTGGAGTGTTGACGGTGGTTGATCTATCTGTGGGCGGCGATGCAGTCACACGGCCCCCTGACGACTCTCTGAGGGGACCGAACACGGCACAGGTGATCGCCGTTATCTCGGGAACACCTGCAGCATGGGCAGTGATGTGGGCCTCAATGCCGCCTTCCGTGGGACGGCGGAGGGGGCGGTCCGACAAGAGCTCGCTTGGATCCTCTCCTCGCCCCAACGAGAGGCTGCTTAGCCACTCGGGCATCTCATTCCAAAGCTCCACGCCGTCTCCATCTTGTGCGTCCTGCGGCGTGCGCAACAGTAGACACGCAACCACCACAGGGCTGGAGACGGCAAACACACCCTTGAAGGTGCATGCAGAAAGCCCCCTTGACCCCCACAGCGCACAAGGCAGGTGAAGACCGCAAGCGAGAGCAAGAGGACCCAGGTATATATATATATATATACTCGGGTTCAGGTGAGACGGGCACAACTGAGGATATGCTCGCCATCTGTCAGACAACTGAAATTCAGAGTATGGCAGCATAAATGGAATAAGAAGAAGGTGGACAAGGGGGAGAGAGAGAGAGGAGGGCTTTAAGATTCAGAGTAGGGAGCCTCTGGCTGCTAACGAGTGTGTCGTCGCCGTCAAGGAGGTTGAGAAGCTCAACATCAGCTGCGGCCTCTTGAGCTTCTTGAGAATCCGGAAGTCTTCCCTCTTCCCCCCAAAAAGGGGACAGCCACAGTCGGCCTCGAGCAAGGCCCTCTAGTGCTGCAAGGGTCGCACACCCTGAAACATCAACGTCTAAGGCCATTCGAACCTTCCCAACAACTGCCACCCTTCCATCTTGGTCTCGAAGCGGCCTCGGAGGTCCTGCTGTAGGGGTCGATACCGGCGACAAGCTGCTCTCTGGCATAAAGGGGCTCAAGGGTGACGAAGGTGCAGGCCGTTCACTCTCTAGCAGCTGCAGCAGCTGCACATCATCCTTTTCAGCAGATGCCACCTCCTCCTTGGGAAACTGCAACACCACCTCTCCCGTTAGATGCGCTAGCAGCAGAGCGTTCGTAGGATCCGGAGCCGCATGCTCCACATCCTGCGGGGCCGCCGACGTGGCTAGAGAGTCTTCTGACTTCTGATCGAAGGCTCCAGAGCATGCATTTTGGCCAGTAGCGCGTTGCGAAAACCCACAGGCATCGTCCTTTCGAGGGAAGTCGCTCGAGCCTAAGACGGACGGCGATGCCAGGCAACCCTCGCTGAGGGATGTGAGCTCCCCAAAAGAATGCAAAAGAGCTGCCAAACTCCTGTAGTCCCGCAGGCGCCCGAAAAGAGACAGGCGCGAGCCGCTGGAGCGACACCGCAAACGCAGCAGAGGCAATGATGCGACGGCGTTACAAGTGGTAACTTGCAGTGTGGGGTACAACTGGGGGAAACAAAGAAACGAGACTACTGAATCCTGCAAGCCCCTTCCCCCCTCCCCATCCAGCCCCTCGCGCCCGCCCGCCCCTCCCGCTCCCCTTCGAGTTGGGCGCACTCTGCCTCTCGTCATGCAAACCGGCCCAACGCGCAAGCCACCACTAACCCCTACAAAAGCTGAATCAGTGTCACACTACGCAGCCTTGTGCATGCCTATTTAGGGGCTATACGTTACTGCCGTATGTGCAGCAGAGGTCCCCAGGGCACTGCAAGTCCTGCTGCGCGCGAACCTGCTCAGAACAAAGGGGCGCCTGCATTTCGCTTCCAGCGCTGTTGCAACCTCAGGCCGTTTGTACGGCTGTTGTGGCAGGCGCGCAGAGGCCCCTACGGAATCCCCAGGAGGATCAACCTGCTCCCTTTTCTCCCTAGGAAACGCGACTGTTGGGGGCTTGAACGCTGTTACCCAGCCGCGCCGCTGCCAAGCTCTCCACAAAGCCGCCAGTTCCAGCGGCCTTAATTCACGCAAGGCCGCGAGCTGCACCGAGGGCCTGTAGAAAGGCAGAGGCGTCAATAAAATCGCCTGCAATGCAACCCGCATGAAATCCATTGAAAAAAATAACACGCCCTTCCGGACAAAAGGATCCCCCGCTGCTGCAGCCGGAAAGCCGAAAGCGCTCACAGCGAAGGCAGGCCCCCTTCAAAGCCGAACAAACTTGCCTTTAGCATATTGCGAGCCATGAGAATCCGGGGACTGCTCAAAGGACGGCAGACCTGACGTAAAACGGCACGAAGCACATGAGCACGCACTCAGAGAGCCACGAGAAGCTTCCCAGACAACTTGAGCGGCCGGCCCTATTGCACGAAAGCTTACGCCGTCCAAACGGCAAGGAAGCTCACCAAAGACTTCCGAAGAGGCGCTAGAGCCCCCTGTCTTTCTTCGCGAGGCTCGCAGTGCAGCCGCATCTCGAAGGCCGAGGGGACGCGACTCTCAAGGATGAAATGACGGAGGGTCGAAGGGTCCAAACGCCTGCAAACGCATGGCGAGACAGCAAGGACCTTTGAAGGTGTAAAACTATTGGGGTAGGTCTTAAAAGGTTGAGGTAGGAGGCTCTCGTAGAGTCGTCAGAGCAGCGCATGCGGGCCTGCACCCGCTAAGGCTGAGTGTCCTCAGGGCGCAAGTGTAGGGGAGCTCTCGCAAGAAGCAGGCAGAAGGGCCTTTATCTCAAAGGCTGAGAGGAAGATGGGAAGGGGGGAATTCCCCAAGGACTGATGCGACTGGAGAGCCTCTTCTTCTTTAAGCACTCCTTAGCCTGTGCGAAGCAGGCACGTCTTCACGCACCTGAAACTGCTGAAGATGCGAGCGTTGAGAGCCCTCCGGCTAAGAACGAAGCCGACATACAGCCGAGAGCTCTCGGGAGACAGGGGGGGCTTACAAAGAGCCCCAAGGATCTGCGGAACAGGTGCGTACCCCCATCGCAATGCATGCAGCGGTGGCACGATGAAGCGGAAAATTTTGAAAAAAAAAAACGAAACCCCAGGAGGGTGTAGGCCCAGCGCAAACGCATCACAGGGCCCCCAGGGGGCCCCGCCTCCCGAGCGCAAAAAGCGCAGTGCTTCGAGGCTAGCGGCCAGCGGGAAAAAGAGCGAAAAAAACACAAGCCCCTTTAGAGTGGTGAGAAATACAGGCACACACCGACCGCACCTTCCATATATGGTGGTCTGCCGGGGGGAGGGACTGTGAAGTGCCGGGAAAGAGCCAGGCGTGCGTTAGGGGCCCTTCGCTGGCTCTGCCCGGAAGAGGGCCCCCTTCAGCAGCAGGGGACCCCCTCTGGTGGTGCTGTGCGTTATGCGCTGCCTGCCAGAGGCGCTCCGCGACAACGGCCGCGCCTATGAGAGATATTTCGTCCTCTGAGCGCACAGCGGCCCTCAAGGAGAGCAACAATCCTCAAAGGGGCCCTCTGCCACATGAGGCCAGTTGCCCCCAAAGGAGGCACAGCAGGCATCAGCGTGGAGTGTCGGAGTCTCGCATAGAGCAGGGGAACGACAGAGGCAAGGTCCAGCAGACCGAGGAGACAACCACAGAGAAAGAAAATCAGCGGAAGAGAGAGCCCTACCCCTACTCATGGAGAAAAGTATGGCCTCCTCTTCTAAGTTCGCCTAAAAGCACAAGTGCAAAACTCGTAGCACATGGACTGCTTCGACGCTCGGGCAGAGAACAGTCGTCTGCTATGAGCGCAGGAATAGAGTGAGGCATTCGCCTCTCGCCTGTCAAGACGAAGAGGGGAAGCAAGGTAAGGAAGGCATGCATGACTAAGCAGTTGGACGCGTGCGCCTCAAAAAACCCCCTCTAGTACCCTGAAAATCACCAAGTGCTGACCCTGCACCCTGCTCGCCTACAGATAAGATTTGGTCTGTTCGAAGGTCTCTGCTCTGGCACGCAGGTAGAAGCACAGGTGGCCAAGCACTACAAAGGGCGAAGCGCAAAGCAAGGTCAAAGAGAAAAGACAAAGCAGAAATGCAAGAGGTACCTGAAGGAGGAAGACGCTGGCTTGGCCTTCAACCGATTTCACAGTACCCCGAGCAGGAAGTCGGGCAGCGAATCGCTCGCGAGCCTTTGAGGCCTCCTCTGCAACCGCTATGGCGTCCCCCTCCACAGTTAGAAGCTCCTCTGCGTGCAGAACGAAAAGACACCGCGAGACAGAGGAGGAGCCGTTGCCGCAGACAGCGTTGAGAGGCAGTGTGGTGTAATTGGAGTGCCGCGTCCTTGTTGCACACCCTAACGCCTCCTGAGGGTCCCCTTTAGAAAGAAACTTCCCCCAAACCTCCTCCCCGGCAGTCCTTCGCCCCCCGAATAACTGATGCGCTCAGAAATCGGACACCTTAAAAGCAGGCAAAAGGGAGGCATTATGTGGGGAGGTGTGCGCATCGGAGAGCTACCAACAGCCAGCACCCACCCCCGTGTGCAGCCACCAACGCGCATGTACCGACAGATGGTGAACTTCACGCTACTCACCTTTCGAAGCAGGCGCCGCTGCACGGCGCCTCCTCTTAAATTTGTTCAACTCGGCCTTCTGCCTCTGATCCTCCAGCCGCCTGCAGATCAGGAAGTGCATGTAACCGCAAAACACCGAAGCACGCCGTTCGAGCATGTGCTACAACCCGCTGAAGCAAAAGATCCTGAGGCAGCCGTTCATAGCCTTTATGAAAAAACGGCTCTGCCAGGTTGCCGAACGCGCATGCGCGCAAAAGAGAGAAAGAAAGAAAGAAAGAAAGGAAGAAAGAGAGAGAGACAACAACGCATATAAAAGTAGTTGAGAAAGGCCGCAGACATAGTGGCACTCCTTAACGGGCCCTTTCGCCCCTGTACACTGCGGGCTGCCACACAGCGTTTATACGCCACAAAATCGCAGCCAGCTCAGCGTCCGTTAGACAGCTCCACTCCGCTGCTGCACGAAGCCGCTCACCGTTTCCTCTCCCATGGCAGAATGTAGAGCGTCTCGTCTGCAGGCAAAGCCTGCCTATGGGCCCTTTCGTAATGCAGGCTGATGCTCTTCATCCACGAGTAGAAGTGACCGCAGATGTGGCACTGAAAACGCACATCTTTGGTGCGATGCACTAACAAGCCAGGTCCTCTCTTTCTCGCGGGAGCATCGGAAACGCCGAGAGGCCCCACACGGCTGTCATCCTGAGGCAAGGCACTCCCGGAGAGGCCTGCTGCTACCGTTAGCCGTGTCTGCCTGTCTTCATCCGCAGCACCTTGCTGAGAGGCTGCTGGACCGCCGTGCCTGCTCGCGACACACAGCGGCCTCGACGGATGCTCCTCTTCTGCCTTCTGAGTGCCGTTGTGCTGCTGCACGCCATCCCGAAGACTCCCCCCAATGAGAAGTGCCTGATTGTTTCCGGAGCCTCCCTTGATTTCAAACACCCGAATGAGGTACCGTAGGATTGCCTGCGAATCCGCAACCCCAACGCAAGCCCCAAAAATCTAACAGCTGCGAAAACGCCATCTCTAAGCCTCTAGCTGGGCACCCACCTGCGTCTTGCCCTGGCCCCCAGTCCCCCCAGTACCCCCCGCCCGTCTGCTGTGACACTGCAAAGGCCTCGCCGCAGCAACTCGAAGGCTCCAACAAAAGACGCAACCTAAAATGGAATTTCGAAGTCATGTAATGTAGCGCGACCAGCGGAAGCCTCGGAAGGCCGCGACTCGAGACTACGAGGACAAATGCTTCTGCACATTTCGGTATTCCAACGAAAGATCTTGGAGCGCAGAGGCGCTTATTGAGGGGCCATGGTCTTGGCTTGCTAGCTAAGTGCGCATCTTCTTCTCCGTGCAAACACGCACATCTGTTGGATAGCCAACCCGGGCAGCAAGCTCGACGATCTGGGGGGATGAAGCATTGAGAACAAACGCCTCTAGCTCAGCACCGCCCGCGTCCTTCAGCCTCTCGAGTGTTTCCGCCGCAAAGGCATCAATAGCAGCCTGAAGCAGCAAAGACCCTCCGTGCAGACGTGCGACTACATTCGACAGCAGACACGCGCCTCGAGTGAGAGCCAGGAAATCAGCTGAAGGACCTTCATCAGCCTTTTACAGCTAGGAGCTCTCGTCCTACCCGCGCAGCCCCCGTAAAGGCGACTTGACCCTTCCAGTTCTTTGGGTTGAAAGCTTCAGGCACCGCAAAGCCCTCAGGCAGCTGCATGGGTTGCTGCGCAGCAGACATCGCAGCCTGATGGACTGCATGGAGGCCTTCAAACAGCTCGAGCAGTCGAAACTCTGTCGTGGCATCCATCAAGGTCCTTACCGTGCACACCCCTGCAGGGTTTATGCATTGTGAAGAAACGGGGTGCACCGCATGAAAGAAAGCGGAGAGCGCAGATCGCGCTAGGCAGACGTGTGAGCAGGCTAAAGCCAGGGTCACTTGACAGGTACAGCACTCAAGAAGTGCCACTGCCATAAGTCTCTGCTGAGAGGTGTGGGGTGTGTCTGGGGGGTAGAGGGAGGAGAGGGCGGAAGAGGAAGGGGATTGAGGGAGAGAGGCGATGCCTAAAGGAAAAGGTACTTACGCGTTTGCGAATCGGTTGCGAACTTCCCTCAGGTGTTTTCGGGGTGTCCGCGGCCTCTCTGTCTGACAGCGGGGTATTGTCAATCTGCTCAGAATGTGGGGAGAAGAATTGCGAAGGCTGCATATCGTTTGAGAGGATCCAGCTCAGCTGCCTCTCCGCAAGGACGTATTGAGACACCTGTTGTTGCAGTTGCTGCCAGTAGGCTTCCACGCCCTCGTGGCAAAGGCCCTTGAACTCCTTGGATTCTGGAGGCTCTCCAAACTCAGTCACAGGCGTCTGAAGGGCAAACAAAAATACGCACTGGCTCTACCCAAGAATCCAGCTGGCCCACACGGCCCATTGGATATCCCATAAGAAATCTGAGGGAGCATTTATGGCAAGTCACGTCAACAGGCCCCCAACGAAGCATCAAGAAAGATTCATGCGCACCGCAGAGAAAGCCGGAAGCTTGAGGACCTTGTTGAGCAGCCAGGAGTGCGGTGACAGGGAACCTTTTTGTAGGCTTCCCTCGTGCGTAGACGATAGAGGGCCCTGTACTTGAGAGACGATACCCATGCGGCCTGAAATTCCACAGACAGGAGAAAAGAGACAAACTTCATTCCATCTCCGAGTGATGCGGCAAGCAGACAGGAGGCGTTGACGAGCCTCCTTTCAGTTGCAGTACCTTTTGCCAGCAGAGCAGAAAGGAAAAAGAACAAGTGCAAGAGAAGGACGAGGCCGCCAGCCCTCTCCGGCTAGCAAGAATCGGCAAAAGCCAGCAGTACAGGAAGCAACTCGCGGATCTTAGAGGGCAGGCAGCTAGAAAGAGAAAGAGAGGAGGTGCCTCGAGCCCTAGCGGAGCGATTAATACGACGCACCGAGTAATGACAGAAGTCTTCTGATGGCGGTGCCTGCATTTTTCTTGCCCAGACCCAAGAGGGGAAGTCTCGCCTTTGGGTGCAGCTGCCTGTACGACTGTAGCTGTCGGCTAGAGAAGACGAGGAGCTTGAAGAGGTTCCCTGGGAGTTTGTGCATCGGATGGCGAGAAGCAGACTCTTTAGCCAGGTGCTCGTCAAGTAGCGGTAAAGCGTAACCGCAGCCGATCTAAAGCGTAACCGCATGCGACAGCAGTGGCTTATAGCGAAAGCAGGGTCATGCTGATCCAAGTTTACTTCCCGGTACCACCCGATTGATTGTACATATGTATACACACAAATATACCCATATATATAATATGTAGCTATATACATATATGTATATATATTTGCTCCTGTATATAGTGTGCATGTACGCACACGGGGAGAAGTGTGCACAGCAGCTGTCTACACCGGAACCAGCAGCCACCGCAGTCACGGGCTGCTGTTGCTGCAGAACCAGATGCTCAAGAAACGGCTCAGGCAGGTGGCAGTGTGCTTAAGCTAACAAAAGAAGGCTCTCGAACTTCTCGCGGCCCCCACAAGCAGTAGAGTCTTCAGCTTACTAGGCGTAGGAAAGACTCGAGGGGCATGCGACGGATCATGGTGGAGACGGTTAAGGCGGGGATCTCTGCGCACGTCCAGAACAGTCACTCTGAGAGTGCAGCCCTTTGGTAAGTGTATCCGAGGGTTTAGAAGAAGCAAAGGCGGGGCTAACCAGGGGTTGCATTTTGCTAAAGATGCGGAAGACTAAGGCACATCCATCATCAGCACATGCAAAGGAAAACGGAGTGGAAGCGTGGCGGCGAGCCTAGTTAAGCCAAGATGAATCCCTGATGCTTCTTCCCTCAAAGTGTCTCTCTCTCTCTCGCTACACTGTGCTTATTGTTCCCCTGGTTGCCTGAGCAACCTGCGCCGTGGGCAGCCCCTCCTACCAGCTTGGGAGCTTTGCCGAGTGGTGTCCGCTGCACATGAGAGCTGTAGCGTAAGGGAGAGCAGGTACTGATGAAGGCACTTGGCCCGGATCATCACAGGGAAGATGAATCCGTAATACGCCAGGTGCTTCTGGCTGAATGACACTTTGTCGTCTGAAGAGGCCTTCTGCAGCGTCTGCACCCGAACATGCACAAAGGGGCGGCAAAGCGCATAGGCGGCGCATACGCGCACTGGCTTCTCCTAGGAAATGTCGCATCAGTATTCGCGGAGCACAGACACACGCCCACGTGGAAGTCCTCTAGCACCAGGCGAACCAAAGCGCTCAGTTTCTCGCAACAGCAATACTCTCCCTCGCTAAGTCCTTCGGCAAGCACTCATGCACCACCCCTGCCGTGCCGAACCTGCGGCTGCGCGCTCAGTAGGAACTACGCCAGCATCCCCAAGAAGGCCTCTAAATAACCGCTCGACAGGCGCTGCCCCATCTGCCTCGCAATTCGCCTTACCTTCTCTACCACAAGCAACGAAGCAGCCGTCGCTGGAGGACCTGGTTGTGTAGGCCGGCAGCACGCGTTTCTCTGCTCCAAGTCCGTTAGCCTCGTGATTTCATTCTCCAGTGCCTTCAACTGCGCGTCCACCAGCGCCTCCCGCGAGGCCTCCTCTCCCGCCACCCCCTGGAGAAGGGCTCCTTCGGACTCCTCTCCAGGCGCTCCCACCGCTTCAGAAGGGCCCCCCGAGGCCCCTCCACGGCGCTGAGCAGCAGGGGCCGGTGCGCGCAGCCGTTGGTCACCTCCTCCAAGGCGAAGGTCGTCTCCCTGGAGAGCCGCAAAAAAAAAAGAACGGGACGTCCCCTGAGTGGCCTCCACAGTGGAGGAGAGCCACGCTACCTATGCGGCCGAGCTACAAAGGCGCACGTTGCATCCAGATATCTGTCCGCTACGCACACGAGGAATAAAAGCGGCACTTTCTACCATCAGTGTAGGCAGCAATGCTACAAGGGCCTAAAAGCACTTGCCAAGGCACCAGTCGCCTGAGCGGCGCCAGCGGTAAGAGCAGTTTTGCCGCAATCATGGCTCGATCTTTTTCTGACTACGCGTTGAACTTGCTGCTGCGTTCCGCAAGGCCCCCATCTACCTACCCACGGGCCAGCCTCTTGACCCCCTTCCCCACCAGCCGCGTCTAAGACTTACCGCTTCTTTGAGCTTGCCCTCAAGGAGCAGCTGATTTCTTCGGATGGCTTCCCGGCAGCCTTGCGCCCTGCGCTGCGTGATCTGCACACCCAGGGGCCCCCCACAGCAAGCCGTTACGCATTGCAGAAGGCTATGCTTCAAGTGCGCCAGTGCATGCGAATCAAATATCGGGAGAGACGTGTAGGCCCGCTGCCACAGTCGGGGAAGCAAAAAAGGGCCGCGGCAAAAGGGCCCTCCATGCAGTCAGAAGGGGGCCCTCCACGCAGTCAGACGGGGGCCCCCAAGCAGTCAGAAGGCAGTGGCACACTCACCAAGGCAGCGACGCGTTGCTCCGCGGAGGCCTCGTCATGGGTATTGGCCCAATAATAGAAGGTTATATCTCCGGATGGCGTGCGTGGCTCAGCAATTCCGTCCTCTAGGCGGTCAGCGTGCGCCTTAGAGGAGCTGAGACGGCCCTTGCGTATGCGAGGCTCGAGTTGTATTGCGACTTCCGCCATTCGCTGCACAGTTTTCCTGAGACGTAGATAAAGACAGTGGAGTGCAGGAAGCCGCTGCACAAGCAAGGCCCTCATGTATAGAAGCGCAGAGTCCGCACTCTCCCTTGACTCAAGAAAGCTGATACACCCATACACATCCCCCAAAGGAGGAAATGCCAACGTCATTCGGACAGGGCCCTGCTGCTGCAGATCGGCGCAACAAAGGAAAGACGCGTCCTAAATACTCCGAGAGGAGCCGACGCTTCCATCTAATAGAAGAGAAAGCATCCTATAGCTAAAGTCTGGAAATCATACAAAGATGCATCTACGGTAAAAAGACGAATTACCTGTCGGGGCCGTTGGGCGTCTGCTCCGCGTCCGCGATGGCCTTACCGATCGAGGGGATGGTGCAGCATCCGGCCTCTTGAACGGTCTGCTGAAAGAGCGCGAGCCGTGCAGCAAACTGTGCAGTTTCCAGCAGCCGCAGCGTTCGCTTTGGGAGCCCTTTCTTGACAGCCTTCGCCTTCAAGGACTCGATACACGGGGGGGAAAGCCTCCCTGAACCACCATGTTCGGCAACCCCATGGGCCCCCCCTTCTTCAGAGGCAGTCTCGACTGCGCGTGGGCCGCTAGAACTCGACGATATCCAGGCGTCTCTTGCGGAGGCAACTGCGGGTGGGGGCGCCGCGGAAGCAGCCTGAGGTGTTGCCTCACATGCAGCTGCTTCTTTGGGGCCCGCGCCAGCAGCAGCGCACGTTGCAGTGTCTGCCACTCCAGATGCATCGGCCATCTCTCTACGCGTTCTCTTCGCACCAACCCCGCGAGCCGCCGAAGCGCCTTGAGGCCGTTTGCGAGAGGCCCCTCCTCTTCCACGTGAACCCTCCTCAGCAGCCTTGCAAGACGTGTGACAGGGAGCAGCGCCATCATCCCCTCCGCCTTGGGCCCTGGCTGAAACCAGTGACGCGGCTGCGTCAGGAGCAGGAGGACTTCTGATGCAACGATCAACACCAGAAACAGCTTCTGATGCAGGGGAGGGCGACGGAGCGACACACGCTTCCTGAATCGCACCGCTGTCTGCCAGCAAATGCCGCAGTGGCTGCATGCTCTCCACAGCCTGAGGCCCCACACTCGCCTCCGAGAGCGCAGCCGTGGGAGCAGTGGCCGCTTCGGCGACAATCCGCGGGTTCGGAGTGCAAGCGGCCAAGGCGCTTGAGGCCCTTCCTGCGGGTGCAGCAGGAGCACTGAGGAGACAAAAAAAAACAACAACAGCCAACAGAACGCGGCTGGAGCGCCCAGATCTGCAGGAGCCCCTAGCGGTTTAGCAGAGGCCCTTTGATGCAGCTCGCTCTGAGGCTCCGTCCGTCTGTCTGCCAAAGGGCTGCGTAAAAGGGAGGTGGTGGGCCGTACGCTGGGGTGGTAGAAGCCGCGCAAGGGTCTGAGGCCTCGGCGAGAAGCGCCTCTAGATGCGGGAGCTCCCGGGAGATGTATCGGTACAGGAAGCACTTGCCACGGCGTTCAGCTACTCGTGTGACGAGGTTTTTCCTTAAAAACTCCTATAAAGGAAAAGCCCACACAAGGTGTTGGAGGCAAGGCCCCAAGAAAAGCCGTCAAAAAGAGATGCAGGCAACGGAAGGGCAGAGAGAAGAAATAAATTAACATCCCAAGGAGGCCGCTTGCCCCATTTGCACTGCAGGAGGCGGCAGGTAGGGCAGCGGCTCCTGGAACTCGCCACTGCCAAAGACAGCCACTGAGGAGGAAGAAGTCTGAGTAGTAGACAACACAGGCGAGAGGCTCTCTGGCAGCGAAGTTCAGAGAGAGAAGCTTAATTAGGCAGCTCCGCCACACAGATTGAGGAGCCAGCAAGCAGACCAGAGGCACGCATACACGCCACAAAAACAAAAGGCGTACCGCTAAAATCTTCCCGCTGCGCTTGATATCGAGGCCTAGCAGCCGCGACAGCGCCACCGTCGTGAGGCCCTGAGAGCCCGCAGCCTTCAAGAGGAAAGCCGATAGACACCCCAAGGACGTTCCCTCCAGTTCCACCCTGAGCGTGACGTACAAAACACGCACATACACACGCACACACATACACACATACATACACACACACTCACAGGTAGAGTTCGACCTCCTGGACGGCAAAAGGAGTATTCACATTGAGCTCTGCGTGTAAAAGGCTTTTCTCTTTTGTTGTCCTTATTCGGCATAGAAAGCAGCTCTGAGTTTCCCCGACAAACGTAGTGCTCAGCCTCCCATTCAACTCGTCGAGTTCCCTCTTTGTCGCCCCGTAAACGCCCCCCGGCTCGCCACTCCCCCTTTCCAGACACCTCTCCAGCAGGCAGCATCTTCTTGCAAGTTTTGGCAGCACACAGCATGGACGTACACTACTGAAGGGGTGTCGTCCGCATCCTCTGTCCCCTCGGGGGCCCCCTGAGGCCCTCGGGGGCTGTGACTGCTGGCCAAGGGGTCTCTCAAGTCCGCAGCTGCTGCTGCCGCTGCAAGCGAAATGCCCTCCTCCACCTTAACTTGAGCTCTATTGTGCGCCACAGCAGCAGAAACACCAAACACACGAGCGGCAGAGCAAAGGTGTAGCAGGATAAAGATGCGCATCCACCGTGGAAAAAGAAACGGCAGATTGAAGAATGCATTGCGACCTCGAACAGCCTGCGCACGTAGAGCTGCCCGGAAAGGTCCCACGTAGTTCAAGCTAGCCGCAAGAGGGCCAGGCAAGTCAATGCAGCCGTGAAAGAGGGCTTCTATAGCGATCGCTTATGCGGTGTAGGTGCTCGAAGTGCAGTAGCAACACGGGCTCTGCGAATCTGTCTGCCAGAAGGTGTGCGTGCGCGTCTCACAATATGCTTGCGCCGCCTTCACTTTTGACTTCATTTTGTAGCAGCCCTATAGGGGTTCCCAAAGAGGTGGTGGCTCCGTTAGAGGGGGTGTAAAGAAGACAGCGTTCGTAACGGACGGTCTGCTTGCAGAAGGCCCTTACTCGCCGCACGTGGCCGCTCCTCTCTAGAGCTTCTCGCACTCTGTAGAAAAGACGCCGCATCTGCTTGTCGCTGAAGCGCAAGTATGGGGCCTGAAGGAATAGCAGCAGCAAACAGCCATGAGCCCCACGACATCCGTGGACTGGAAAGGGGCGATACGCGCGCATGCACACCGGAAGCAGCAGGAGGAGCCGCAGGAGCAGTGGAAGGAAGCCTTTCAACGGCGCGCGCATAGCCGCTGCACAAGCTGCACGCAGGAAGAGGGGGTTGGGTGAGGGGTGGAGATGGGGGCAAGCAAGGCACTGTCGACTTGCCTGTTCCGAGCTGAGAAGCTTTGATATGCAAAAGTGCCGGACTTCATCCTCCAGCAAAATGTTGTTGGGAGCGCTGCGGAGGAGCTGTGTCGCACACTGCTGCAAGGGCAGCAGGTGTATCAGAGTCATAAGACCGCGTATGTGGATGGGCAGCCGCAAGGGCGAAAAGAAGCTTGTACTCCACAGGAGAGCTGACATGGTGAGGTTCGTTTTCTGCGGAGTTCCCCGACCAACTACAAGGCTTTCGTCCTGTCCGATGCGCTGCAACTGCGTGTTGCCGAGCGTGCTGAGCCCCCGTCGCCCGCACCTTTGGACTTCACTTTCGGTGGCTTTGTGTGCGGGAGGAATCGACAGCTGCATGTGGTATATCAGATCGTCCCTGTACAACGGCTTAAGGTGGTGAAAGACAGTCTTAGGGTCCAACTGCAGTTCTTGCGCAATGCGGTACTGCCACTGGCCTACAAGGAGAGCGCACAGGGGAAACGACCACGAGAGCGAGCCACGTGAAAATTGGCGCGTCTTCGCCAGGCACGGCAGATGTGGGAAGGGGGCACGCAAAACACGCATCTAGAGATCTCTGTATGTGTGGGAAGGAAGGCATGCGCGTGGGCATGGGTGCGTGGGAGATCGGAAGAGAACACGTCAGTACACCAGTCACAACAGGACTGCGAAGTAGGGTGCTCGGTTGAAGAAAAAGCAAGCAGCCAGCCACCATTGCATGGTGGCACGAGTGAAGGATTCAAAGAGGCGTCGTGGTGATGCCTCAGGGGTGGTCATGACGCAGATGTCACGAGGGGAGGAGTGGTGAACATACATATAGAGAGTGAGGGGATTTAAGTGGTTGTGGGTCTTGGGGGGGGGGGGTGGGGTGGGAGAGGGGGGGGGGG